TCTCTTTGTTCTCGTCTTTCTTATTTCTTGCTTTCTACATTTTTTCTTGTTCTCGCACAAGATACTGAAATCTTTTTTTCTTTTTTTGGGTATTCCCCCTTTTCTATTTTTTCCTGCCTATACTTTTTATACCATTGGTTCACTTTTCTCTTCTCCCTACTGCATTCTCTGTCCCACCAATATTTCTGCCCTATCTTCCATCTCTTTTCCACCATGTGTTTTGACTCCATGGCTTCTCTTGCTGTTCCTTTTAGTCTTTCCCAGTCCTTGTTTGTATCCTCCTCCTCCTCCTCGAATATTTTGGACTCTGTTGTCTCCTCGTCTGGTTTCCAACATATTACTTTCTTTATCCGACCTTCCCTTTCCTCCGAGTAGCTTCCACCTCTTGTCATCACCGTCACATTTAGCGGTTGATGATTCTACCCTATCTCCTACCCTGAAATTTAGTACCTTATTATAGAAATAATATTATAACTCGATAACTATCAGTAGGTTTGTATCTCGAAAACGAAGACAAATTAGCTCATAGTGTATACAACATTTTTTATTCAAAATAATCTCCCAAACACGCTGGCAAAGACTAATAGTTGAGACCCGAAACATCGTGTATACTAATATCATCTCGTTTTATGGAAAGTCATAAAATCATAAACTGAACTTATTGAAAATCATGCAAGTATATCGAAATTATCACTTTCCGGTAAATTAAGATTTTGTTATAAAAAGCATAAAAATCCTTGGCTGTGTAGCGACAGAATAAGAACTAAAAAATTTAAATCTAGAGTTATACCAAATTTAAAATGAAATAAAATTCTTTTAAAAATGTAAAAATATATTTATGACAAATGTATGTATATGACAATTAAGGAGATAATACACAAAGTGCTCGTACATTGTAGATTGATTTTATGTGTTTATACCTGGCATAAAGTTAATCCCGGTCTTCATGAACTTTCGTGAATTAATCACTTCCAGTCACAGCTCATTATTGATGAGATGCTTGGGAACCAATTGTTATGGCACTTATGACACTGGAGAACTGAAGATTAAAATAAGATTTGTTGGTCCTCCTTGCAGGTGATATTAGTAGCAACATGTAGGAATTACTTCAATAATATAGTATAATTTAATATAATATAATAATATAATAATTTAGTATATGAAAAAACATATAAACATATCCATACATATTTCAAGTGACAGACTTATGAACATAAGTCTGTAGACATTTATAATTGATTGTCTAACTTTCTTCATTTGTCCAGCTGTTGTTTGAATTTTTTAGTAACTTTGTATAATTTTTATACAAAGAATTCCAAAATTATTAATAAATATTGTTATGAATTTGAAAGATGTTCCACAATACATGGAAAACAACTAAAAGCACCTAACTACACAAAAGTATCCAAGACTTTCACCAGCAAACATCAAACCTTAACAACAGGAAGGAAGAATAATTATCACACGCCTAAGAACGGGTCATACTAAGCTGACACATGAACACAAAATCAAAAGAACTACACCACCCACCTGCACTCATTGCAATAACCATCCACTAACAATAACCTACATACTGCACGAATGCCACACCACAGAAACTCAAAGACAGAAATACGGAATCAACACAAACACAAATCCGACTTCTCAAAATGACATACAAAAAGTATTAAAATATCTCAAAAACATAAACTACTACACACATATCTAATGGCACCGTTGTCGCTAATGATTTCGCTATCGATGCATTAAAGAAAAACATTAAAGAAAAATAGAAGAAGAAGAAGAAGAAGAAAGATGTTCCATATACTAATTTCATTTAGTATATTTAGAACAGTAAAGCTACAGACAGATGTAGACTCGCAAGCTTGAGTCGAATTTTCTTTTTTTGGCATTTATTATTAAATTATAATTTGTCATTAAGTTCAATTGAAGAAAAATTCTATTGAAAAATTTTATATAATATATTGTAAATAGTTGTAATATAATCTACTGTATAATATATTGTACATAGTTGTAATATAATAGAAAAATATAATCTACTGTATAATATATTGTACATAGTTGTAATATAATAGAAAAATATATTGTACATAGTTCTACAAAATATACATATAATAGAAAAATATATTGTACATAGTTGTAATATAATAGAAAAATATAATCTACTGTATAATATATTGTACATAGTTGTAATGTAATAGAGAAATATAATCTAATACTGCACTGATTCTCTAATAACTTTATACTACTTGTAAGAATATAATAAATATTATATTTATATGCAAATTGTTTTATTGTTTTATCACACGATCTATATCATTTTTAGTTGACGGTGTGGTTAAAAACTTTAATCGTTTCTTGAATATAATTCTAATATTTTTAAAGAAAGTTTTCTCTGCCTTGCAAGTAGCAATGGAGATTGTTAAAAATATATCAATTCGACAAATATCGTTTTAGCCAGGCTATAAATTTTGATCTCGGTCTTTGCGTAGTAACTAGTATATCTTATAATTTGAACGATCGTTTAATCATTTTTTTGATAAGTATCTTTAAGAGATACATTCTATATACATCACATACATCTATATAATATATATAATAATACTCTTAAAAAATTATACGTATGTATTTGCTTGTGAATAATAGAACATTACCTTTATATGTTCAGCTCAGGATTTTAATTTGATTTAACATTGTAATATTTAATAAACTGTCTTAATATAATTCGACATACCTAAAGTTTTAAGAAATTTTTTAAAATGAACTTGATTTTTTAAAACTGTTAATTTTCATTTAAATCTTTATTTTCTGTATGTGTAATGCTGTAGAAAACATTGATCATGTAAATGCATAGAAAAAAATTGAAAGAATTTATTATCATTAATAATCTAATTTCAGTATCCAACGAAGAGCGTACTAATGACAATGAAAAATAATCGATAATTTAAACTATCTATGCTATAGTCTAGTATAAATTAGTCTATATTAGTTTATACTAGACTGAGGATTTTTATGCAAATTTATATTTTTATAAATAAAATTTAAAAAAAAAGAAACTAGATAGAAAATTGTTTTCTATTAATTATACAAGAGTATTATATTCAAAATAAAATATTTGGATATTTTATATTCTTTTGCAAATTACATACATTCTGTGCATTTTTCCATTTTCAAATTTCTTATAGATGCATAGTCTAATTATAACTTTGTAGAAGAAAAAATCATATAACATTCAACTTGGTCTTATTTTAAAATTTTTACTTTGACAGTCAAGTTTTGTTTAACAATCTGTTTTTTTTACAGATGATTTTGTTTGACAGTCATTTTTTTAAACATGATTTTACTTTATGTAACTGATGGAAAAGTAAACACATTAAAAAATTCTTTTCACGACAAAGTGTGAAAATCTATGTCCATCATAGTCTTGAAATTTTCGCTGCACGACGCATGTTCATCATTTTATTGATCTTTATCAGATCTTAATCAGATAAGAAAATATTAGGATGTCTTGAATTTTTGTTGTTTAACTCTAAAATTCGATGTTTAAAAAAACAAGTTTTAAGCGATCGTTGTAAAGGGAAGATTTCAATCTACAAAATAATAGTTTTTCAAACATTTTTACAATTTTCGTGAAAAAAGTATCCACCCTTGTATGATATAAAATCATCCTCAAAGAAAATAAACTTATGATTATCAAAGTAGAAATTTCGTGCTTTAAAATGAGACCAAGTAGATCGTTATATGATCTCTTTTTGTATCAAATTATATTTAAATTATCGACAATTTTTTGTTGTCATTGATACAGTTATGTATCCTCGTTGTATAAGTACAACACTGACAAGTTTTCTCCACGTGATTACAGAAAAAAATATCAGTAATTCCAACATTAAAAGAAGAATAATGTTATTGAGTGGTTACCACAATATTTTATATGATATTTATGTGACAATTACTTTATATGATAATTTTGGATAAATATTTTATAATAAACATTACTTTTGTGAATAACGTAGCTTGTGATTTATAGTAACTAAACCAGGATACGATGTCAATGCTTCTATTTCAACATAACGTTATATTGATCAATACGTATTTAAGCTTTTAATAGCCGTAAATTTATATATAAACTGAACTTAGAATAACGGTCATACTTGCAAAGTATATATTCTTACGTTCAATTATATCAGAAACAAAATAACAAAATTGAAAAACAACAGAAGATAGGGATACTCTACAAGAATATAATAAGTATGAAGTATCAAAATATGAAATATGAAAATTGAATATAAGACATACAAAACAAGTTTGAAGATATACAAAACAATTAGAAATGACAGAACTATTTGTATATGTGTGTGTGTACAGTAATAGTATTTTTCCTTGAATAAATATTAAATTTAAATAATATAAATGTAATGGTGTCAAATAAAAGCAAGGAAACATTAATGACAAGAGCTTTCATCTCATCTTTTAAGAAAAAGGCGACTGTATAATATAGTACAATTGTCTACAGGATATATAATGTATAGTACAATGTAATATTCATTTTTAATGTAAAACAATAGGAAAAGAAACCATCATTTTCTTGAATGATTTACGAAAAGAAAAAATTAATATCATAGTTTGGGAAAAATTACTGAATGATAATGAATATAATTTGACATTATCGTTTAAAGTTTCCTATACCTTTATATATTCATTACAACCTAATTTGGCTTTTAATATACATCATACTGTAACTTCCATTACATACTGTAACAGGATAAATTTTCTTCTCTACGTATTGTAAATTCAGCAATCGAGCATCAAGCTTTAAATTTTGAACAAATGAATTCGTACGAGGACAAAGATCGTTCGATACACAGTGGTAAAATTGGCTAATGATTAGTAAATTGATCATTGTCTTGCGTGATGATAATGATTACAGTGGTTCAGGTGCCAAAAATCCACCTCCCTTCCCTCTGTCCTCTCTCGAAGTCGTTACTTTGTCATTGTTCTTAGGGAGAGGGGCACTCTTCTTTTACTTAAGGGGAAGATCGGTGGGAAGGCGAGGAAAATCTTATAAGCTAAAATAAAAGCGAAACAAAGCAAAGTCAGCGGGAGTATTTTTTTTCAGTCTGAAGAAGTACCTAGTCGAGTGGCTATCTCTTCACAGGTATCATCTCTTCAGATATTGTAACGCTTGTTATTGTCGATATTGTTGTACTTGATAAGTTACTGAGATCGTAAGTGAAGTAGTGAATAATTTATTGTGGGGCTGTCCAAAAAGTGAAGACGTCAACTAGAAAAATATAAGAAGAAACATAAGAAACATGCCATTTTTTTTTTTTTTTTTTTTTTTTTTTTGAAAGTGATGCTGTCGTGATATTATGAATGAATGAATCTTTTTTAACGAATTCGAGCTTTAATATTACGAAATAAAATTGACTGACAAACTGGATAATAACATAACTTGGTGAACTATTGCTAGTTTAATAAAATTATTAAAACGAGCCTATAAAAAGTTGATTGACAGAATTTTGACAAACTGATTAACATACACTAATATTGGCCATTTTTGTTTGTAAGGTTCGTATGTTACCAGTGAATAATTAGGAATGTACTATGAGTTATCAAAAACTTGAATCTGTCTTTTTCTTACACGCATAATTATGATATAATATATATGGGAATTACACGATATTGGAATAAAGCGTTCTGTTATAATAAATAGGAATTGATGTCACAATCAAACAATTTGTTGTACTTTAACGTGACCCGTTTTCATTCGTTAAATATATCTCTATTAGCTAAATATATCAATCGAGAGAACACAGTTGTGACATCTGCTTAAAGAGAAATTTAATCAAGATTAATAAGTATCAAAAATATGTAAATGAATCTTTGAAATGAGTACAATCTTACAAACGATTAATATCAATCAGCCATATATTATAAATATTAATATTTGATAAAATATATACTTGATAGTATATATTTGATCTTTAAAATGGATAGTATATATTATATCGTTTAAAGATATCAAATCACTTTGAGTGTTTGTTTATATACAACTAACTACCTATCTATCTATACGCATATGACATCTCGTCATAAATAAAAAATAAAAAATAAAGCATTAAAAGATTTAGAAGAAATAGAGTAAAAATTTTATGTTCTATTTCAGGCCCAGTATACTTTTGATAGACGTGAAGAAATATGTGGGACGACGAACCAGCACCATGGGATGTCGACGAAACCCCTGCTGAACAACCTGAGGAAGGAGCTGCCGAAGGAGCTGCCGAAGGAGGTGGTGGAGCTGCTGCAGCGCCTGCAGAAAAACCAAAAGTAGTATTACTAAAACTCGAGCCACCACACTACAATCACCATTGGGTTCGCCCTCTCTTCCTTAATTATGACTATCTTTATGAATACAGGTAAAGATTTTTTAATGTAAAGTAATTAATCGATATTTTATTTTTTTTTTCAAATTGTGAATAATCTTTGTTAAAATGATAATGATAATAATTTTTAAAATAATAATAATAATAATGTTTAATTATTTAAATAGTCAAAGTTCTTTTTAAAAATAATATTTTTTCGAAATACTTCTTATTCTGGTTTCTCAAAATTATCAATAACTTTTTTAATTATTTTAAACACAGAACGAATTTTCATAAAGTTATTTAAAGTTGACAAGTTTCAGTCACATAAAAATTAAAAAGTTGAAATGTCGACGACTGTGACATTATCATTATCATATGATATTATCACATTATATCATTATTATATTATATTATCATGTAATAATCATATTAATGATGATTATGACATTATGGTTATAAAAATAGCTACTTTTCTCCTTGCGAAAAATTTGCAATAATGATGAAGCACCTCTCCAGTGTTTAATCTTGGTGCAATCTTCAAATTTTTATATTTCAATCTTCAGTCGGTTCAGCAAACAAAAGGGATTTATAATGTTTTAGAAGGATGATTTAGAAAGATTGTTTAGAAAGAGTTAACACGAAACTGAATCAAAAAATGGTGTATACTAATAACTCTTTTAAATTTTATTAAAAATTACATATTCACTGCATATTAGTTAGAGTTAAAATGAGGTTAAACTAGGTAAAAATTTATTGGGAGAGAAAGAATGGTATAGATACAAAATAAAAAGTTTAACTGTTCATTATTGTAAATGTCATATATTTGAATTTAAACAGTTAATTTAAACAGTTGATTTTCATTGGTTGACTCAAATTAGAAAATAGAGTTACCTCTTTGTTGCAGCAGTTTTCAATTATAATAAAAATGCAAGTTGCATCATGAGCAGATCTAATATCAATTAATTCAATTATTGAAAATAATTTTATTCTCTTTTTATTCTCTAAAATTTTGATACTAGTGAAATTTCGATATTAGTGTTCATTAAGTGTTCATTTAATAAAAGCTAGCAAATATTATTTATTATTAATGTTTTCAATTTGTTTATATCAATTTATTTTATAATCATCAGAATTTATGATACATAAAAAATATATAAAATAGAGAATATTTTTTTTACATAGATATTTATTATTTTATTAATTTTCTTTTATTATAATTTTATTGTAATTGGTAAAAGATATTTTACAAGACTTTCAAAGTGTTCTAACTGTACTATTACAAAACTTTCGATTCCTCCTTTTTTCCAGAAAAAATTATTACGACGACTATATTGATTATTTAAATCAAAGACAGAAAGGTATATTCCGAGAGCCTCCCAGGGCACAAGAATGGGCAGAGCGAGCAATGAGAACTTATGATCAGAAGAATACCGACAAGAGTTTCAAACGATCTGCAGATATAAAATATATAACTAATATGAGACACGATCCTAGACATTATAGTTATCATACTCGAGCGTATTATAGTTTAAAGTATCAGAAAATTTTGTAAATTTATTTTTTTTGATAACATCAATAACATTATTAATGATATATCGACAGAATCAACATATGTGGCATAGATGTAAAATACATTACAGTCGTTTCTATCTATTTGTAACTTGTAGCTCTAAAGTTTTAATAATATTAATTATTTATCGCAACTGCATGTCTACGTGTTTATATTTTATAAATTTCATGCAACGAGTAAAGTTTCAAATGAATCTCCGTATTGCAAAAGCAAAGTGAAGATATTCTTCTTTCAACAAGATTCATAATTTATATATTCGATTTTACAGAAAAATCAAAATTAATTTTAACTTCTTAACTTAAAATTGAAGCAAAGAAGAATTGTATGAAGATTTTATTGTTAAGTGTATAGACTGTATTGTAATCTTTATTGTAGAAAAAGTATAATTTTTGTCTATATGAAATAAAATATCTTTCAGTTTTCTTTTATATTAGATCAAGCCTGTTTTATATTAGATCAAGACTGGCTCATATCCCTTTTTGCGAACCAATAGGAAAAGTATTCCCTCTCGAACAAAACAAAAATTAAAAATACATAATTAAAACAATTAAAAATACTTCACATCGATTTTGTTTTAAATGAAATATATAAAACTGTTGAGAGCTCTAGTGTCTAATACATATATGAAAAGAGATTATAGAAAATTATTTGCTATAAATTTTTCTATAAAAGTTAAAAAATTATATTATATATATGAATAATAGTGGCTAGTCTACACGTGATGGGAGAGCCTAGAAAAAGAAGAGAGAAAAGCTACTCATCGAATGTTAAACTCGTGTGATTCGCGAATGAAAAGAAATTCGACAGCCCTATATCAATTAACCACACGATCTTTTTTAGCACATTATGCTTTTGTATACATGATGTTTCTAAAAACATAAACTACAATACGTGTTGATATTTGTGCGGATATAGTTACGTAAGAATCTGTAAAAATATGTAATTAAAAATATATGTTTAAAGTTTAAAACAGCGTTCCTTAAGATCAAACAAATACCATCAACATATGTTCCCGATACCCTACAATTGCGCAAAATTACAATTTACAATTACTTTGTCTCATTATATTGTAACTAAAAAAACAATACAACTCAAAGAAATGCATTTGTTCATAATGATAACCAAAACAAAATTCCTTTTTACTTACCAAATATAAAAATTAATAAATAATATTTTATAAAAATTAATAAATAATATTTTCAAGCAATTGGTCAAAAATTGGCTTAGCAACATTTTTATTACAAAATTGCAATTTATGAGTTGCATTACTTTCTTTGTAAGAATGCGATATGATGCGCTATAAAAAGAAAAAGGGACAATTGAAGTTTTATTACTACTTGTAGTAATAAACTGACAAACTGACTGATTCTCAAATACTTCTTCTCAATTCGATTTCTTTCTCAAATACTCGAAGAATCTATCACTTACATTTTAAATCAGAAACCCTTAACTCTGTTGGAAAAAAGAAAAATGCTATTTCCTATTTGTTTATTTCCTTGCAAAGTACTATATTTTGTTTTCTGTTTCGTGGAGTATACTTTACCATGTTTTACCAAAATCATAACTCGGAGAGAAAAATTTTTCTTCACGTGTTTTATTGAAATAGCACATATTAAATAATATGGGTACATTTTATGACATTTCATTATCATACAATAATATGTAATTTGAAATGTTTACTGGATCGTTCTGTTTAAAATGAAACAGTTTTCTTTTTATTTGAGAATTTCCTCTTTAATGGCAGCAACGCAATGGTGTTCAATGGATTTGCAATTTCATTTGGTTCTATTATCGAGTTAATTTTGTTTTGTCTTGATTTTACAGGCTGTGGCATACACGACTCTATATCTACGTTAGGAACTTTTATGAATTTTATAGTTTTCGGAACTGGTTTCTCCGGCAGACTTTCTATATTAGGAAATTTCTTTAATGTTACATCGTCATTGCTCTCTGAATTATCGAACTTTGTTGCGTGCCGTTGAAAAGCAATATCCGCTTGACCAAGTGTATTCCTGGCTTTCTCAATTTCAGCATTCAAGTCGATTACATCGAACAAACGATCCTGCAAAGATAAATAACAGTACGTTTATAAAATATTGTTATACACATTTGACTTGTAACGTCATTACGCATTTTTCTATTAATCTCTTGCGCGGGAATGACGTGCCACACACGTCGAGAACTTTTTGTCCCAAAATTGCAATATTTTATTTTCTCAATTTTAAGTATATTTAAGTATAACCCAGGCAAAGTAAATAATAAATTCATCACTTTTCAATAATTTCTATCCAGTGATGTCATACCGACGAGTTCAAAACGAAAGCGACGAATTATTGTATATACGGTTTGGTCACTCGTTATGGTCCGCAATCAGTTGCCAGCGCAAGTGGTTAACCTCTTGCGCTGGAATGACGTGCTGCGCACGTTGAGAACTTTTTGTCCCCAAAATTGCAATATTTTCTTAGTTTTAAGTATCTATAATTAAGTATCTTTATAACCCAGGCATAGTAAATAATAAATTCATCACTTTTCAATAATTTCTATCCAGTGGTATCATACCAACGAGTTCAAAAGAAAGCGACGTATTGTATGCGGTTCGGGTCACTCGTTATGGTCCGTAATCAGTTGCCAGCGCAAGTGGTTAACCTCTTGCGCTGGAATGACGTGCTGCGCACGTTGAGAACTTTTTGTCCCCAAAATTGCAATATTTTCTTAGTTTTGAGTATCTCTAATTAAGTATCTTTATAACCCAGGCATAGTAAATAATAAATTCATCACTTTTCAATAATTTCTATCCAGTGGTATCATACCAACGAGTTCAAAAGAAAGCGACGTATTGTATGCGGTTCGGTCACTCGTTATGGTCCGCAATCAGTTACCAGCGCAAGTGGTTAACAAGAGAATATCGCCATTTTGGGTTCTGTGTGTGTGTAAAATGATCCAAGGCAAAAATAATCAATTCTTGTCGCCCTTTAAGGATATAAATACATATAAAATTTTTGAAAATGGTTCTTTTTCTATTTTTTTTAAATTTTCTTCGTGTTACTTTATTTACTTTAGCGAACTTGCTGAACACCAATACTTTAATTAGAAATTAGGTTATGTATACATATAGAAATTTTTGTACATAATTGTTATGAAATTTTTAAAATGATTAAGAATTAAAGAAAATTTAAAAAATGGAAACTTTTTCAAAATTTTGTTGAAGCAAGTTACTGTAACCATTAAACTTTCATTCGAAATATATTTTTCCATCTTATTACTTTGTTTTAAGCGAAAAATTGGTAATGCATGCATACTATTTTACTTTAGTAGTTTTTGCATCTTTAAAGGGTAATACATACATGTTTGATCAGATATATCGTTATTTTTGTCTTGGATCATTTTTTTTTTAAATTTTATCCAAATCTCGCTTAATTCAAAAATGTGTAAGCCATAATATATATTTATGTATATTATATATATGTAACCTGCATATCCCTTCGTTTACGTCTCAGGTCAGCAAGATCATCTGCGAAAGCAGCGGCAGCTCGTTCTTTGTAACGTCGCTGAGCAACAACAAAATCATCTTCGAAATCGTCTTCGATTCCCCGGTCATACATATAATCCAAATCATCGAGGAAGTCATTGCGATATGGATTATAAGAACCTAAAGTATTTGAATGATAATATTAAACAACTTGACAAGTAAGTTGTTCTATAATTTGCAGTCAAATAGCACAATAGCATATAGTATATAATAGTAAATAATGTATGATAGTATTACAAAAAGTATTTTAACAAGTTGATAGTATTTTAAACAAGCTGAAGTTGAATAATATTTCATGGAGTTATTAATGAATTGCTTGTTCTATTTAGAAAGAAGACAAGATGATTTAGTGTCTTTTTTTAGCATCTGAATGCTATCAGTTTTCCACCTTCCAATAATATTGATTATAATTTCACACATTACATTCACTTTGAAGTATTCTATTTTGATAGTCCTGAGTTGGTTTTTTCCAAAGATGACTTTACAATGTGCAGCAAGTAAAAAAAATGAGAATATTTTTTTTCTCGAAAATTTTAAAATTCAAAAATTTCTAAAACATTGGAAAATTCTTTTCGAGATTAGATTTACCTGATTATTTTGAATATTGAATTCTCTCAGAATTTGCTGTATGAATTTTATTAAACTTTGGATGTTAGAATTAAATGACGAATGGGATTTTTTAAATCTTTTGTTCAGCCCTAATATTTAAAGTTCAAAAAAATCGTAAAGTAAGTTTTTAAGGGATTGTTGTAAAGAGGAGATTTCAATCTTCAAGATGGTAAATCTAGTTTCAAAAAATCTTTTTTATGTTTCCAGAAACATTTGAATTTTTTGAACAATTAAATAAAAAATTTACGATTATATATAACAGAGAACTTTCCTTGAGGAGAAATTAAAACAGGAAACATTTATATCGAAAAGGGAACATTTTTTAAATAAATGGGTAATTACACAACATGCAAGCAGGCTATGTGTTTAGGACACATTGGAACAATGAAATTTATTTACAAACAAGAAAGGACAAAAATACATACAGTAACGTTAGGACAATATCTTTCTTTGGGAACGTGTGCACGTGTGCACGTGTTTCTCTCTTTAAATCTTGGTATTGCGTTGTGATTTGATCCCTGACGATAAGAGGAAGAGTGGCAATAAAATAAATTCTTTGCTTAATTTTACATACATAAATACTGTACACCTTTATTTTACATAGAATTTGCGAAAAATATTAAATAAGTTGTGTTTTGTTTTCTGACTTTGATCAGATCAATTGAAACTATACATATCTTAATGTTTGTCGTTCGTTTCATTTCAAAAGAAGCATTTAAATATTAAGAGAAAGGAACAATTATTTAAGAAACGAAAGACGAATATTCATGTACAATTAGTGAAAAAATATTAAGTATATTCAAGATTAAACCTTCTGCTAGTGTATAATCATTTTAACTAACAAAATTTTACCGAAAATAATATAATTTCCTAATTTTTAATTAGACAACAAATAGAAAGTAATTCTTAACTTATCCTTCATTTTTACAAAAATTATAGAAATATAATCGAGAATGTCCAATAGAATTACATCTTTTTTCGCTAATACTGTAGTAAAGTATAGTATGTAAAATGAACTATATCTTTGCGTACTCGCTGTTGTTGCATGCGTGCGTATGTATGTTATGTGCATGTATCGATTTTAATGTCTGCAAAATATATATATATATATTATACAATTATAATTGTATAATACCTTTAATTATCATATTTATAATTACATATAACATAATAATATATGTATATATATATAAAATTAATTAATAATATAATATATATTGTTTAATCTTTTGGGTATAAAATAAACGATAATGTGATTGAAATTTCCATGACACTGCTAATGTATTTCTACTACATGAATAATTTTATACAAATGTTTCATGAATTAATCGTTTAACGTGAGTATATTGAAATCTCTTCATCTTGGTTGTATCTATATACGTACTTGTACTTCAATTTAAACGTGATTGAATGTTCAAACAGTGTACATACATACATACATACATACATACATACATACATACGAAAGATATCTGTAGGATCATCAGGAACAAATGACAGACAATCGATTAGAAAGTAAATGGTAAATAACGGGGGGATACTCGTGTCTTTCAGATAACGCGCGATACTGTACACGTAATGTACATATAAATGAAAACGAAGCTCGACTTTTCCATCGTCGTATTTTGAGTTACATGTAAATATATATCAATCTTTGTCTAGTGGACGTGTTTAGAGGACGTGTTTCTCAGAGCGTTCGCGGATGGTAACTTTCTTGCTGACGACAGCAGACGATTGTTCCTGAAGATTGTTCTCCGCGTCGGTTATATTCTCGTTGATCAACGCTCTGAGAGCAGCTGCCCTACGTTCTCTCTTCGCTTGTCTCTCCGCGAGCTCCTCCATTTCAGACTCGAGGTCGTTCAAACGGGCTTTCGTTTGCTTGGCCCTTGTCGCAGCAGCATTGGCAAGGCTGTCGTCCTCGTTAATTAGCTTCGACCACTTCGTAAGCGTCGGCTTACTCTCTTCCAATCGATCGATCTCGTCGAACAGCCTCGAACGTCTCTTGAACGTAGTCTCTGCCTCCTCGCTGATCGACTTTATGTCCTGCAGGTTCCTCCTCGAGCTGAGAATATTGTCAGTAAGTTGATCCTGCTCTTGACGCAGGCGTCTCGATTTACCCAACGTTGCCTCGACATCGTCCTCAAAGCCGATCGAAGCTAGTTTCGCTTTCAGATGTTGCGTCGTCGCTGCGACGTCGTTGGCAAAATTCTCGGCGAATTGACGTCGGCTGCGCTGGCCACGGCTGTCGTAGACGACATCCTCGTCTTCGGGAAACAAGTTGTTGGTAGCCAAAGAAGGTAGTGGTAGTGGGGTACGAACGGAAGGGTCTAATTCAGGGTCAAGGTCACGTCCAAGGGAAGTGTTGCGAGGACCAGAGAGGTCATGAACGCCTGTAAAAACCGATATCTCAACATATGTACACTATTAGGGATACACATACACATATACATACACGTAGGACGTGTTACATTTAATTAATTAATGGTATTAATTATATTGTGTATACAGGGTGATGACGACATCGAATAACTCGTAAAATATTTGTTGTACGAAAATATGTTTCAGACGGAAGTTGCGTGGCTTCCAGGGGAGCATGTAGTATTGTAGTCAGTTTTATGTTATTTTGCTCTTTTATCAAGGTATGAAGGTCACCTTCAACTTTTTAAATGGAACAGTTAGTATTTCTTCCCGAGTTCGGATAAAGCGTTGAATTCTACGTAAAAAAGTATTACACCAAATAGGATATAAAATACATCGTTACTGAGATTAACAGTCTTTTCTAATACGATGTAAAAAAATATTTTTGCTAATATCTCAGTAACTATGTATTTTATATCCTATTCGGTGTAATACTTTTTTATGTAGAATTCAACGCTTTATCCGAATTCGGGAAGAAATACTAACTATTCCATTTAAAAAATTGAAGGTTTAAAAAATTGATAAAAAAGAAAAAAAACATAAAACTGACTACAGTACTGAACATTTTTTCGTACAACAAATATTTTATGAGTTATTTGATGTCGTCACGTTACGAGACTCACCCTGTATACATACGTGTCATTTGAATCGAAATTTCTGCCTTCAAAATGCCTATTACTCTATTGCAATAAAATTACTTGCAGACTTGTAGACTGTATTCTTTAAATAAGTAAATCACGTTACCATTCGATACGTGATGAAATAAACAAATGACAAATGAAACGACAAACAATTTCATTATAATTCAATTACGTTACAATTTATCTTTTATTTTTATCCTCTATTCCAATTACAACTATTCTCTACAGTATACTTCTCTATTTTGATAGAATGAAAATAGTTTAAAAATGAATGAATAACCATAGTCGAAGTTTCCAATAGGATGATTATTTTTCTCAAATACATACACTCAAATAAAAAAAGATATATATCTCAGAGATTTGTCACTACGCTTAATAGTTGAATTCGATATTTATTCAGAGAGAGAGATATAAGTATATTTTATTTCATTTTTTTTTTCGAGTTTTTTTTTCAATGTTGATTTCTCGCATTTATTTCAGTAGACATGAAAAAAACAAAATAAAAGAGCATATAGATTGATATACAAGTGAATCTCGATAATATACAGTTATAAATACATTGGACAGTCAAAGCATTAATACCAATGATATGTTTTCATTGTCGGTAATGGTGGTATCTTGAATAAATAGTTCTTTCAAAACAAAACTGAAAATATAGTCGGTATGTAGTTGATCATATATCTAACTCTAAGTAATAAACACATGTGTTAGCTTGCTTCTGTATAATTTCAATACAACGTTATTACATTTCTGTCACAGGAATTATAGTTAAACTAAACTGATGCACCTTATCTTTACTTAACAATATACAAAAGAACAGAGCACGCAAGTAATAAGAATTACTTTATTTACACGTGATACGAACGAATGATTCTAAGCTACCTTTACTTTATATCTTTTTTCACGAGACTCTGAATTTCACTTTTGAACTTTTATGCGAAGAAAACGACGTTTAAATATAACAATACAAGTTTGTATTACTTGTACGTGTCGCAGGAGATAATAAATCATTAGACGATGCAGCTTTTATGTCACGATTTTATTTTATTTTACTGTTAGGGCAAAGATTTATTTATTTATTTTTTCTTTTTTCACGATGGTTCTTTATGGAGTAAAATTTTGTCGTGGCTGTAACAGCAGACGCGCAGTACAGTACATTCGATTCACTTCACATCGGGAGTTGGATCGGACCATGCCACTCATTGATTACCAATATTGTCGAAAAGTAATTCAGCATTTTCTTACTGACAATGAAAAGAGTTACTACATCGTGATAGTTAAGAAAAGGGGAATGAGGATGAGTTCACCCGTTAAAACCATTTTGGAAAACGACTGAAGATGTTACCGATGTCGCCGCGGCGGGCTGCGATCTCGTCAGCCAATGAAGTTCTTGGCTCGGAGAAAAGAGGTCGAGAGCTGTACTTTCGATCCAAGTGATCGACCATCGGCTTGTAATACGATTCTCCTTTGTCGTAGTTACACCCGTACACGCGTGTACGTGGCCTGCTAAGAATTGGCCTCGACATCTTCAGAGAACTTTGCTCCTTTTCTATCTGAAATTTCAACAATTCGTCATAAATCACTGTTAACCAACTGAACTTCTCTAGAAATTATTCGCAAAGAACTTTATCTTTAACCTCTTGCGCTGAAATGACGTGCCACGGCGCGTCGAGAACATTTGGCCCAAAATTGCAATATTTTCTCACGTTTTAAGTATATTGAAATATATTAAGTATATTAAAATATAACCCAGGCAAAACAAATAATAAATTTATTGCTTCTTAGTAATTTCTATCCAGTGATATCATATCGATGAGTTCAAAAAGAAAGCGACGAATTATTGTATACGGCTTGGTCACTCGTTATGGTCCGCAATCAGTTGCCAGTGCAAGTGGCTTGGTTAACCTGTTGCGCTGGAATGACGTGCCATAGCGCGTCGAGAACATTTGGCTCAAAATTGCAATATTTCCTCAGTTTTAAGTATATTTAAGTATAACCCAGGCAAAACAAACAATAAATTTATTGCTTCTTAGTAATTTCTATCCAGTGATATCATATCGACAAGTTCAAAAAGAAAACGAATTATTGTATACGGTTTGGTCACTCGTCCGTGAACCAGTTATTAGCGCAAGAGATTAAGCTTTAACACGTTTGTATAAAGGGTGGTTTCGTTGGTGACTGCACATGAAAGTAAAAAAAAATGGAATGGAAAAAGTTTATACGAACATATTTCCTATTCGACCTTGTTTTCGTATTTAAGATTTTTTGCAGTCCAAGTAAAAAATCAAAAAGTCTTCTATTTTAGGATATTAACACTTTATATACCTAATTAAATAAAAACTCAATAGTATTCTAACTTAATTTCAATTAATGAAGATCGCAATTAGTAAGAAACTTACGATTGTTTTTTCTTTTACATACAGGCACACATTTACGTGCGATTACATTTCGATTGATAATATGTGCATAGTAAATAATAAAATCGCGATTTTCCCCTTGAAACCATAAAATTCTTCCCAACCTTTAAAATAAACACGCAGAATATTTCGTAATAAAAATGAATTATTCATGTTTCACACCTACTAGTAATACGACACGCTTTATTTTTAAGATTCGTATTGTCTTTTTAGTTCATTACGGATGAAAATTTTATCAACATATTGATGAAATTTTTTGATTAAAATGAAATAAAACACGATATTAAATCATAAAATGTAACCATGTTGCATTTGAGGTTTCTTCTTTTGTGCGTTTGGTTTGTTGATAAATACAAAGAGTTTAAAGTTTATGAATCATACACTTTTGTGCTATAAATTCAAGGTTTTGAATTTTGATCTATGTTCAGCATTGAACTGATTTTATACATTTCGTGATTTTGTACACATCCTGTACAAGTAGTTGAATACTTCTAAATTATTGCAATGTAGAATACAATTCAAACAGATCTTTTTAATTTCATTTTGACGTATGTAATTAATAGATATTAACAAAAAGGATAATTACAATAATTAGATGGCTGAACACTCTGCAAAGACTCTGATTTCAAGTTGGAACGATTGAGATATGTATTTTTAGCCAGATTGAAATAGCATGTACACATTTTATGAAATATGTGCTATTTATTAGAAATAAATATAAAATTTGAATGAAACAATGTTAAACTTTGTAGAATATTTGATGAAAAATGTTTATCAATTATAATTGTAAATACAAATATAACAAAAATATTAATCTTTTAATGAAATTGTATTTGGTGCAACTCATGCACAGCAATGTATATAGTAGTGCAGTTAGACCAATGCTCGTTTGCTTCATTTCCATTCAATTTGTGTATTCATATTGTTTATTACACTAAATGAATGTTAATGCAATAAATGAGCAAATGGTGAACATCCGTTTGTTTGGTCACATTTAATCATAGTATTTAATCAACTTTTATGAAATGATATCAATGTCAGAGCTTGTTTTCTAGTATACAAATTCCTATATCAATTTAAACTGTAACCAATCGACATATTGCAGAGTATATGATGTTAAATATTAAATATTAAAATCGATTATAAAATAGAAAATAAGGATGAAAGAAGTATAATTAATAAAATAAAAAATTATCATAATATATAGATACATACATACATACAGGATATTACATTTAAGTGTGAACAGTGAAATATTTTACATGGACTTCATGTTATCAAAAGAAATTGCTTGGTATGAAGGGGGACATTATAGACAGAGATATTTCTTGCGTTGGTAAGTAACGGCACAGATTTCAAAGTCAAAATAATTTTTTTAAACAAGATCTTATATTTTTCTATTCATAATGCCAAATAATATTCACCTTCATGTCGAACAATTTTTGGAAGAACATTTTTTTGACAATATGAACTTTTTGTAAGCTATTCCACTGTTCTCATTTAAATGTAACATGCTGTATGTCAAAAAAATTATTTGTTTTTATGAGGATTATATTTTATTGTCAAAAAAGGATTATATTTTATTGTCAAAAAAGTTATTTGTTTTTATGAGGATTATATTATTTCATTATGTTGTTATTTACAAAAATTTTAATGCGATCATATTTTTATTGAACATTGGAGTTAAACGACAAAAATTCAAGATAATTCTGACATTGTCATCTAAACCTAATGTTTCAAATTCAACAAAATTCAAGTGAAAAAAAAAGTCGTACGGCGAGTTTTAAGGAACCTTTTGCAAAGAAATAAATTTCAATGTTCAAGACGAAAGAATGAATTTTTTAAATATTTTTACACATTTGAATTTTTACAATTTTCGAGAAAAGAGTATTCTCCACCATGTAATATAAAATCATCACGACTGTTAAAATAGAGACTTCATACTTTAAAATAGAACCAAGTAATGATATATTTTTTTATGAAATTTAAATTATCGACAATTTTTCATTGTCAGTAGTCACAATTATATCATTCACTGTAATCTATAAAGTACATGCAGTGTTGAAAATATTTTTACGTATATCCTTACCGAGATGAATGTTGACCGCTTACTCATTTCAATAAATGGTCAGCTCTTTTTAAAGGAGAGTGTCGGAACAGTGATTTGGAGAAGAGATTCATAATCAGTGATTTGGAGAAGAGATTCATAATCAGTGATTTGGAGAAGAGATTCATAATCATAATATTCCGCAAATGAGGAATTTTACAATTTTAAAAGGGAAATCGCGGTTTTATCTTATATTACATTTATTACTAATCGATCAGGATATGCATCTGTAGATAAACAAAAATATAAGTGAATTGTTCCTTAAAATTAAGTGCACTGAAATAAGTTATACGTATATAAAATATTATTACTGCTACTAATAGTACAAAATATTATTGAATTTTTATTCAATAATAATATAAAAGTAGTAAAAAAGTAAAATTTAATAATACTAGTAAATGTTTACTTAATTTTTACTCAATAATAGTATGAAATATTATTGAATTCTTATTTAATAAAAAATTTGTATGAAGTACTAGTATTCTAAAATAGTAAATTTCATTTTTTAATCTGAAATGCAAAATATACCTGCATCTGAGAGTTAAGGTTAAGTTTAAGTTAAGTTTAAGTTAGGATGATATCCTGCTACATGATGGAAAGGGAGCATGGGATAAAAAAGATTGAGAATCATTTCATTTGGAAATAATTCACAAAACTAAACGGTTCTTAATAAGTTGTCTGCGAAACTAAAGATAGAAAATATGTATTTACTGGAATTTGCAAATCCAAGAGTCATCCTTCTTAATTGTGAAACATGTTTTTATAAATCGCGAGAACTAAAACCGAGCGTCGTGGCGGTAAGGAGAAATTATTCAGATAAATAATAATAATAAATTTTGACATATTTTAAGATCAAAATTGGTGAGGTCTCTGTTTCTAAATAATTATTGACAATGAAATTGATAATGAGAGTTCGTGAACAACATTGCATCTGGTTGTCTTACATACGTAATATTATTTGTAAAATTTTTCGATTATTGTTATTAGTTTTGCAATTTCTATCGTGATATCAAAGTAGTAAATGGCATCTGCATGCTATCTTGTTTAAAATTTATAATTATATTTTTTTATTTGCACATTTATTTTTACATAGATATTAATTCTCCAGTTGCCATAAATATCTGTGTCATCTTATGTTTATTTTATAATATACTAGATATGTGTTTTATATTAACTGATTAATTTTACTGTTGGCATATTAAGAGAAAAATAAATACAAATTACATTTTGAGCTTACATGAATTTGAGTTTTTATGTGCAATTGAAATGTCATTTCTCTTCATTTTAATGCATTACTCAATATTATGTATTGATACAATGCTTATTGATGTATTTGTATTATTCGTTCATATTTTTATTATTAAGTTAATCGTTATTTTGTTATTTTAATTTTTCAGTTTAACGAAATATAATGGACAAATTTATCGTTTTTTATAAGAGTACAAACAAAAATATATTACGTGTATTTTAAAACAAATGTTCGAAATATGTTGTACCGATTTTATCAATAGAAATAATAGTTAGCAAAATTTTTCCTATTGTAATTTCAATTATGGAAAGTGAGGAGTTAACACAGGATGTAAAAATAGTGAGAAGTTTAAATAGGACACATTTTTAAAGACTAGAACCAACGAAAATTATTTTAACAAAAATTTAGTAATAGTAAAAGTATTGTGTGCATGTACTTTGTGCCAAAATGCTAAATATGGAGACATAAATATTTTCGTATTTCTACAACCTTAAATTAAGATACAATCAGTCATAAGGCAAATTGCCAAATTGTGTTATTTTCACGTTATAATCTTCCAATTGGCAATGCATAACAGCGTTAACTATTTGAAAGTTGGAAATGTATCTAATTAGCCATTAAATCGAAAAACTATTTTTATCAAAGTAAACTACAATATAAAATTAATAAGCTCAAGTGAGAAACACTGCAAAAAGAATTAGAAGCTTCGTAGCTATTTTATTGTAGGTATGAGCTGGCCATTTTCTAATAACATTTTGGAAATAATGATATTAAGAAGCGAAATACAAAATATCACAGATTTTTACTTGCAATAATATACTACTGATTAAATGGAAATGTAATAGTATAATTTTTGAAAACACTTATTTACTATTGCTGTTTTTTTTTTTTTTTTTTTTTGTTATTTAATCTGTTTGTTTCGTAAAATCTTTAAATAAAAAATTCTGGGCGTATTAAAAATTTCTCATTCAATATTACTGTAGAGTTTCTAGAATGACTAACCAGTAAATTGGAACAAGAGAGCAACTATAAGTTAGTCAAAAATAGACCATGTCTAATTTGGTGTCCGTGAACTGAACTGGCACATAGTAAGTACCCTCAAGTCCCGGACAACCGCCTCCAATTACAAAGTATAATATATATGACCTTATTGTTTTTCTCTCTCTTTTCTCATATTGTTTATTTATTTTTCTCACATACTTTTCTCCTAATCTAATCATTTCATTTTACACAGCAAAATACATCAAAATCAAGAAAAAAAGCAGTAATTTTTGTTATGAAAATTTTATCACAGGCATCATTAAATTGACAGGATATCTATAGCTTACATTAAAATATTGATTTTTTTTATGTGGAATATCTAATTTTTATATTGAAAATATAAAAATATAATAAAAATAAACAATAGTGAAAAATTATACATTGCTTTAATCAGAATTTTATTTAAAATGTATATTTTAAAAATAAAATACATTTGATATATTAAAATAATATCAATCTGTATTTAAAATATCAATTAGTGTTATAGCAATATGTAATAATTATAACAAATATTATATAATTAATTTATGCTTTATGTAGCTATAAACTTGTTCTATTACATAGTGTTAATTTATATTTTACTCAAATATTTAATTAACACAGTATACAATTTTTATACTATCAATATGTTGTGAATACTTTATTCATGATTATTTATAATAATTATAAAAATAAAATATATGAATTTCCCTTAACATCTTTAAGAATAATTTTCTTTTTTATGTTTATATTCCACACTTTTTGAAAAACTTAAAATTATATAAAATATGTAGTGCAAGTTATTAATTATTTCAGTTTAGAAATATAATTTCACAGAACTTCGATATATAACGAATAAAAGTAAAAGTTTTGTAAAGATCTTATTTTACTTCTTTTCCGTAATTACTGTTTTTTAATAATGAAAATTAGTATTATACGAATCGATAGAAGTGTTCAATGTCTATATTATGTCTGATGTTTCTGTGATGTTACAGAAACAATATAAACAATATAAACAAAAATAGAATTAACAAAATAGATTACGAGATCTTTGATAATATATTAAAACAAAACTAGGAAATGTTACAACTATTAAATTATACGAATAGTATGTATAACATACAAAACTAAATCTTACAACTTCTTTCTAATACAATTAGAAGACGTGAAAGGCATGAAATATTATATTTAAATTTTCTCAAATTAATAATATAGTTCAGACATTTAACCATCCTTGATTAACACAAGAATATACTTGTATACTTTCTATAGCAACAGATAATACAGTAACTTCTATTCTCGATAAAAGTTAAAGACTGTTCTAGATTAATAATATTAAAATTTGCAGCATATAATAAGTATTTAAATTTAGTAAGAAATTACAAAATAAGTCATGAAAAATTAATGTCATTAAATTATCCAAACAATTATTTAATTATTTTATCTATGTAATCATACTTATTTAAAAAATTTTATTTATTTAGGGAACACACATCATGCTTGAAATAATAATAAAATCAGTATTCTAAGTTTACTGTAAAACATATTGAAACTATAACATAGTATTGTAATTACGTGTCATAAAATAAAATTGATCTGTCAGTGAAACTTTTCCAAATTGGAAACTATTTCCAATTTATAATTACTAATGAACAGTTATCAATAAATCTAAATTCAATACTTAATCAAATACTTAATACACAAAACTACTTAAATAGTATTTTTGCTGTTGGATTTATCAAATATGGAAAATATCAGACATTTTAGAAATGCTTATTGAAACACGATAATTATAAAAATTCTCATTATTATTTTTATCGTTATTTTTATTACCATCATTATTTTTATTATTGTTAATATATCGTTGCTAGTATTATTAGTGTGATTGTTGTCATTATTATTAATATTTTGTTAATTATTAATTTTATTATCATTTATATCGTTATTAACATAAATCTTAGAAAAGGCTTAATTATTTATCAAATTATGATGCATTTTCTTACGAACTTTAATTTGAAACAAAGAGTAAGTACATACATATATTCAGAAGATGAGAGTGCGTTCGTTAACACGTTACGTAAGAACTACCAAATTTAGCTTGCAGGCATAGTTTTAAAATAATGATATCGATTTCAAAATCATTTCAATTAAATCATCCTTTCACAGTTTACGACAAAGATAGTGATTTCAGATTTATTAGAGATTTTTTAATCATTACTAACATATTTCACAAACACTTATATTACACATAATGTACATAATTTTCAAGCATTAATTATAATAACTAAATAATCAGATTTTAATTACAATATAAAATTGTTAAGAATATTAGAATGAAAATTTTAAACCTTTAGAAAATAACAAGTAACGAGTTCATATTAATGTAGAAATATAAAAACACACAACTAAATTAAATTTCTTTAATTCTTAATTACTTAACTAAATTTACTTAGCGCAATGCAGATATAATAGATTTAAACATCAAGAGCTTAGTAAATTGCTGAGATAACTTAATAAACAAATAAAATAACTTAATGACAAATGCAAATTAGGCTAATAAGAAAAAAAACCAGAAGTAGAAATAGAGAACAAATTTTTTTATTTTACACATATCTTCTGGTTATAACTTTCAACAAAGTTACAAAGTTGCAAAACAAAATTTTGGAAATAGAGAATTATAATTACAAATTGTAATAATATATTCACTAATATATCCAGCAAAATAGATACCATAGTCAATCTTCACTTTTCAACTGAACACTTTTCATTCAAAGATATTTTATTGATTGCTCAATTGTTATTCAAAAAAATTTTAATTTAATTTATATAATTCTAACAGACAGTACACAAGCATACATAAATACAAAGAAATATAAATGGCATGATAAAATTACAGTATCTTGTACCTGAACTTACAGGGTATCCTATAAGATGTTACGTGCTCGGAAGTAACGACACGACTCTCGCAGACGTTGTAACGCCCGTTATTTCCCACTCCTTTCGAAATCTACCCCTTCCACTTTATTATGTTTTATTCGTCTAATACGTATTTTCTACTAATCTACTAATACTCAATAAATTGAGAAAGTTATTTTCATTGTATTTTTAAATACTTACATCATTATTAGTTTTACCTATGTATCATTTCATCATTATATTTATCATGACATCTTTATAGATTTTTAATAATTAACAACAATTGTGAAAATAAATTGATTCACAATATTTTTGTGTATTTTCTAGAAATGTTACATGCTATTCAAAAAGCATTGTTATTAATAAATTTGATGATTCAAATCTCTTTAATTTCATATATTGTTATTAATTCATATATATTATATGACATATATAATAGTAAATTCTAGAAATACCTGTTTTTCTTCATCAATTTGATTTCTGTACATTTTACTTTATGTTAATAAAAAAAATCATTTCTTACATGGTAAATAAATAATGACACTTGATTATTCATTATCGTTAATTTATTGTTAAAAGAAATGTGGATTTCTTTTAAATTGTGTTACCGTGCAATTGCAATAAGCTATATTTTGTTACAAAGTATTTTGAATGACAAAAGTCCAATTTTAACGACAAAGGGGCTCATATGTGTCTATGATATATATGTATATATATGTATACTTTTATGCATCTTTTAAAATCAGCGTATGATTAATACTCGCTATATGTAACTTAATCTGTGGCATTTTACACGCTTCCTATTAAGCAAAGTACGTATAAATTTACATACCTATTGTGATAGCAAGTTAAACGTCTATTAATAATCGTACATACATTGCAAATTTTCCAAGCAGATGTTACAAGGCGTGCGCATATTTAAATATACGTTTCAGAGAAAGGAACAATTTGCTTCAAAAGTTCAGCTGCAATTTGTAATAAATTTTGTACTCGCTATATACGACATAAATTTTATACAAGAACATATTTCCTTTTCACAGTTTATTCATTTGTTCTCCTAAAATTTCGTGTCCATCTTTATGTAATTTAATTCATTTATTAGTTATTTTAGGTATAACGAAATCAATATAAATATATATTTTACATATATGTATTAAAATTCTATTTACATAATACATGTGTACATATGTACAATCAATCAGGATGTGATTCTACATGTAAAAATAAGTTGAGAAGAATAAAATTTTTCTATATGGTGTTTTATTTTCGAGAAAATCGACTTGGAAAATTTATTAAGTCACGTATTAGGTATACTTAAATTTAGCTAATACTGAATGTGATAGGAAAGAATTATTATGAATTATTATCTTGTATGCAAAAATGAGTAATAAATTTACTGCACAATTTTTTCATTAACTGCTTCATCTTGAAGAAAATAGATTGAACATGTTTCGTTAAAAGTTACCTTAAGGTGCACATGTACTTTGTAAATTTTCAGACTTGTTCTCGAAACCAAACATCTTACAAAAAAATTTTATTCTATGTTTACTTACTTTTCGTTACCTGTTTTAGAATAATCTAAATTAGTCTAAATTAATCTAAATTATAATCTAAACCTAATAAATTTTCAAACTCGACGTCGCCCACTATTTATATATTTCAATTAAGGGCTTGTACAATTGTAAATAAGTGCTTATTAACTTAAATTATACAATTCAAAGAGAATGTGAGATCGAAAAATGAAATGCGGACATATTAATTTCTATAAAGCTAAACAGCTGAAAGTACTAACATAAGTGAATACTTTGAATGTAATTTTGAACGTAAAATGACTGATGTATCACGGTAGAGCGTTATTATACAGAGTGTATTATGCTTACTGCGGATGAACAAAACTTTATTAATTAACATGGAGTATCTGAAGAAAAATTATTAATATATATAGCTAATATTTGATACTCATTGATGAAATATTATTAATCCTTATTTGATATGGATGGGTCATAGATGACTGTAATAATTTTTTATTATTACGTTACAAAAATTTAAGTTATTTAATTTGACTTTACATCTTTTTCTGATAGATTGATAAAAATAAAATTAAATCAAAAATTCCAAAATTGAGCAATATAAATTATAAATGATACCAGTCAAGGGTAAATGGATTTGCTATTTTTTGCAAAGTTTGATTTCAATGATGAATTCTGAAATGAATGTTTATTTATTCAAAGCCACACAAAGATGAATTTCCATTCGTTTCATTTTCTAAACAATTTTCTCATATATAAATGTAAAAAGTTATAGATTATAAAGTTATTAACATTTCATTTCCCTACTTAAAATATTGTTAAAATTATTAAAAAGATATTAGTATATTTATGAAAGTTTTTCACACAATATAAATTTTTTAAATGCTCTAATTAAAAATGAACACCGACATCTGTGATTATTTGTTACATTGTACACATAGGATGCCTAATTTTAAGATATTTAATTTAACTTAACGTTTATTGAATCGTCAAATTTCTAACTCAAATCTCAACATACTTTTATACTATATGCGAAGATGAGTCAATAAGTCACATATCCCCTCTAACTTCCGTTCTAAAATAAGTATGTATGCTATAGCTGTGCCTATAGTTACTGCTACGCAGCTACATGGATAAAATATTGTTGTTAACACGCAGTAGGCTTCACCTCGTTTTGCGTCATTTGTTATATATTACAATATGTATTAGACGTGAAACATGAAACGATGCCATATGCATATTTTCTTTTTTTATAGTACGACGTTACTCGTTAAAATAAATTCACTGAACTGCATTCTCAACGTAATCATTCGTTATTATAAATTGTTAATAAAAATGACATAAAGTATGAGTGATCTAATGATAGGGTAACACTTTTCACGATTTTTCAAGTACTTGCGATAATCTGACAAAAAAATGTTATAAACAAAAGTTGATCAGTTTCTGATTGGCTATACAGTGCAATAGAAAAAATTTCAAAAAAATTTTTTTTCGTTAATTGTCAAAGTCACGTTTGTTTTTTTTAAATGGCACTTTATTTAAAATATATTTTTGACTTGATAGTATTGTAGCTCGTATTTAGACGAATTCAACAACTTTTTATACAAGGACCTTCGAATGATCTTGAAGGCAAAGAAATGAAACAGAAAATGACAATCAGCATGAATGGGTGACAATAACTTGTGCTTATTATTAAAACTCGAAATCACATTTAACTCAGGAACCTTGAAAATTTTTCTTAAAAAGGGATCAATTTAACTTTTGACTGTAATATAATTATTTTCTACATAAATTATAAGTATTATATGTCACAGACTTAGAAATTACATGTGAACAAAATTACAAGTTAAACTAACCGTGCAAACGTAGTTTCATTTTATAAAAAATATAGAAACTGCAGTATTTACTGTTGCCTCAAATTAATGGGGACTATAAAACAATAAAACTGTGAAATTAGAATTATTGATTACTATAATAGAAAAAGTAATAGAAAAAGTTTTCGAAAGTATTGACCAAGACTATCACCTGTTGTGCATCACTGACCTTATCTGAAGATTGAGCAGGGAAACAGGTCATTATAAGTTGAATCCTCATCGTGTGCACATCGATTAAACATTCGAAGTGAATTTTTGAATAATATTTCCGAATATTCTAATTGTTTAAACATTAACTAATATTTCTAATAATTTATTTGTAACGATTAAACAATTAAGTTGAATGCCGAGTTGCTTGTAAGCGATGTAATAGAGGCTGAATGGGATTAGGGGATATAATTGATATCATAATTACAAACTTTAATGTTTGTAAAACGATGTCAAGCTAGGAACTACGCAAGGAACTTCAGTTCACATTGTGCAAATTTCTTTTCTTTCTCTATTTCACGGTCTAAGCTGGACTGTAGGGACAATTAGTTGACAATTAGCGACTAGGGACGTCATGGGATGCGTGCGTCTTAACTTTAAGTTGCGTTTAGTTTTTGTTAATTATAAGACAGTCAATATCTGTAAATTTAATGTAAGCACATTCTATGGAATGATACGCTTGTTGCTATAATATATGTGAAACAATTTTTATTTTTCCCTTTAAATGTGTAAAATATTTTAAACCAATTATAACTTGGTTGTAAATATTTTCAATTTAAACTTTGATTTGTATTTAATATGTTGTGCTTCGGTTTACTTTTCATCGGTTTTTTTCTTAAAACTCCGTTTGCTGTTCGTTTGCACAATGATAAGAAATTATGAACATTTCGCAATCGTATACCAAAAAGAGTTTCTTTTCTTTTGTTAAATAAATTTGTTTTAAAGTAAAAGAAGAGTAACCTCAACGTGATGAAACCAGGGCAATCATTATTATTTGTGATACAATTACTCGTTGCATTACTGCGATGCAATTATGAATTACAAATAAATATGAAACAAATAATATGAGCTAATCGGCTACGATTACGATTTAGTTTTTATGTAATTAAAGGATTTGTTAAGTTGTCAGGGAGATTGTTGATTCCTAAAATTATAGATTAAATTTTTTCATGATAACGTATAGTGCATTTTTAAATATTGTAGACGATCATAGACTTTGGTGGATATTTCATAGACTTTTTCTATGTCTCCTTTTTGATTAAATATCAGGTCCATTCTAAATATATTTCGTCCCTAAATAAATAAGAAATTAATAAATTCAATAAATGAGAAATACGAATAGAGCTCTTTCTGACACACATATAAATGCATAATAAAAAATGAAATAATTTTAGACACTAATCTCGTGTTTTAGACTCTGGAGATACAATTAAACATTTTGCTTGTATCATTTTACTTGGTATAATTACAGACGAGCCTCACATTTCGATATTGAAAGTTTGACAACAGTGTAATGGGTCTCAAAAATCATTCTGGCGCATTCACTAGTTCCTCAGCTTACCGTTATTTTAACGTAGAGTGCACTAAAAACCAATGATTTTTTTAGTATGTCGGTATTTCAGATCACGGGCCACGAAAGTTCGTAAGATGCAATGTCTATTCATATGCCTTGTCTGTGGTCACAGTATACAACTTGAAACTGAAAGTGGTATTAAATGAAAATTACATATTTTTATTTACATATTAGAAATTTTTAAAAAATTATTTAATTAAGATATTGAACAAGTAATTTCATTATAATTTATTATTGTATGTATCATACATTGTTATATGATACAGACTTAAAATTAGGTTTGGGTTAGGTTTGGGTTATACAGTCCACATGTGACTATTGACATTGTATCATTCGTAAATAAATATATTGTTTTATCAATATTAAATTTTATATTTAAAGTGAAATTTATTTAGTTTTTTTCAAATGATTTTGTTTTATTTTAAAAAGTAAAATAAACATACTACAGAAAATATTTTTTGATTTTAAGAATATTAATATTGAAATAAATGAAAAATATTTTGAAATTTTTTACATTATTTGATTTGAAATAAATGTACATACATGTATTCATATCACGTAATGTCAAGAAATATTAATCACGTTTATATAATGTTTTAATAGTCTTAAGAAACACTGTATAAATATAAGACTTATATTTTTAAAATAAATACAGAATTTAATTTCTCTATTTACTATAATGTTTAACCATTAATTTAATAATTTCTTTGTCTACTGTATAATGTTTAACTAATGTCTAACTTTGGAAGATGATTATAGTAGAACATAAACTATACACTTTATGTATTCATAATCTTCTAAAATCTTGATTTTTGAATTGTATTATTTTTCGACAATATTAATTTTAAGTAAAGTTTGTTTTTAAAGTTTATAATTTTATAAATATTAAATAGATAATAAGTTTTTATAAATATTAAATAGATAATAAATTTTTAAATAACTAGAATGTTTCAGCAAAAATTATGTAAAAAAATACTTCCTTGTATACCAAAATGTTATTGGTCAAGGGTCAATCAAATTTCAAATGATTATACGAAAGATGGAAGTAGTAATTCTGAAGCATCAAATACAGATCAATCTAAACAAGACTCTTCACAATGTTCATACAAGACAAAAGAAGTGTTACATTTACTTGAAGAAGCTGCAACATTTGAAGGTGTCAAGGATAAAAATTGGATGACAAGTCCATATCCTAAAGATATCCCACTAAATTACAATGAAGATACGAAATCAAGTATTGATCCAAAAAATACCTCTGTTTTATTATTTCCTGGTCAAGGTACCATCAAAGTTGGCATGGTTAAAAAATATATGGATTATCCTGGTGCTAAAGAACTTTTTCAAATAACTAGTGAAATAACTAATTATGATTTATTGAAACTTTGTTTGAATGGCCCACAAAAGGAATTAAATCGAACTGAATTTAATCAAGTTGCTACAGTAGTATCATCTTTGGTCGCATTAGAAAAAATTCGAGCAGAAGATCCTAAAGTGTTTGAAACTTGTGTTGCTACAGCAGGTTATAGCGTGGGAGAGATAACTGCTTTGATTCTTTCTGGTATTATAACTTTTGAAGATGGAATTCGATTAGCATGGACTAGAGGAAAAGCTATGCAATATGCATCAAATTTAGTGCGTCAGGGAATGTTATCCGTAGTTTATACGCCAAAAACACATCTTTCAAAAGCATGTACTGAAGCAGAAAACTGGGCAAGGGACATAGGTATTGAAAATCCAATATGCAGGTAATATTTTATTTCCAAACTTTAATAATTAATAAGTAATGGAAAAAGATATAATTGTTAATTATACAATTTATAATGATTTTAGGACTGCTATTTTTCTATGTACAGAAAGAAAAATAGTAGCAGGAAATGTAGAAGCATTGGATTATCTTGAAAATCATAAAACACAATTTGGTCTAACTAAATTGTCCAGATTACCTGTATCAGGAGCATTTCACACACCATTGATGGAACCTGCTTTAAAGGCAATTGGTAAAATATTGGGTTCAATAGAGATAAATGAACCTAGATGTAAAGTATATTCTAATTATAAAGCTAAGCCATATACTAACTTACGATATGTGAAAAAATACATATTGAAACAAACTGTATCACCAGTCAGATGGGAACAATGTTTGCAACAGATATACAATAGGCCTGACGGAACACCATTTCCTCAAACATACGATGTAGGGTCAGATGGAAGAATGAGAACCATTTTAAAATTAGTTAATGCAAAAGCAAGTAGATCATGTACTGTAATTTAAAATATACTCAAAATCTCGTTTTTAATATATAATTTTTCCTCAGTTTTCGTTTTATTTTCTCATTTATTAATATGTACATAATGTTAAAAGAATTATAAATAAATTTGTAAAATGTAAAAATTGTAATATTATATCTATATATAATACATTTAAATAATAGTAATATGCATATGGTTATATTATTTAATAATAAAGTAAAAATTTATATTCTGTTATACAGTGTATCCCATATGTGGGATGATTTTAAAAGTAAGTCGAAAGGAAAGAATAAAACTTTTTCATTTAAAGCTTCATTTTTGAGAAAATTGAGTTTGAAAATTTATCAAATTTATTGGAATTCATATTAAAAACATATGAATTAATTTTTAATGTAACAAAAAAGAATAATTAACAAATTAGTCTATGCAAAAATAAATAAAAAATATAGAATAAAATTTTTAATTTAAAGCTTTATCTTCAAGAAAATAGACTTTATGTCGTTAAAAATTGATACATGATTGATATATTTTCAAATTTGATTTCCTCGAAAAGCATCTTACAAAAATTATATTCTATATTTTCGATTTAAGAATAAGCTTCTATTAATTACTCTTCTGTCAGATTTAGAATCAGTTAAACTCAAGTATATCTGATAAATTTTTAAACTAGATTTTTTTTCAAAAATTAAACCTTATGTGAAAATTTTCTTTCTTTTCGATTTATTTTTTCATGTGGAATCATCCCCTTCCTAATTGTACTGGGACATACCGTATAATTTTGGATGTGTGCGATTTATTTGAGTATTTTTTGTATAAAAACATTAATATTTTTATATCGAAAAATCATTGGTTTAAGAGATTCTTTGTTTAATTTTATGAAATCTATCATATGAAAAAGTCTTGTGTTTATGTTGTCCTTGTCTTTCATGCGATAAGCTTTTAATACTAATATTAAACATTAAATTATATGCATAATTTTGAATGTGTACGCGTAATTTTGATATGACAAAATTTATCTTGAAGTATGTAATAACATGCATTTTTTAAATTTTTATTCAAAGATGACTATCTTTTTTATAACTTATAAATAATTTATATTATAACTTTTATAACTTATAAATTTGAAATTCATTACTTTACTAAATCATTAAAAATTCACGTAACTTTATTTTGTAATTTTGTCGGTTACTGTTACTAACATAAGCAAATATTAATATATTACCTTTATATCAAATTACTTAATTTTCTCAATAATTGTATTTATCATTATTTTATATTGTTGCTATTTATTTTATTATTAATATTTATATAAAACACGTAACATAACATAATTCACAACATAATTCACGAGACGGATGAAAGAGAAATAAAAAGGTTTTGGAACACAGGAAACATAGCGTTGTATGGTTACAGTTGTAAGTGAAAAAGCGGTATGAAATTGAGATTGTAATTTTATTGTAACGTAAATAAAATATTATAACATTATTATGAAGCTAGTAAGGTACGTAAATTAATATATAATTTATAATAATAAGATGTAATAAAATGTTTCTTACATAAAATTAAAATTGTGTGTGATCAATTAACTGAATTTGTAAAGATTACTGTTGTATGGCATTTAAATATTTTTTCAATTTTTAAATAATGTTTATAACCATTTCAGATTTTTAATGAAACTCAGTCACGAGACTGTAACAATAGAATTGAAAAATGGTACTCAAGTACATGGTACTATTACCGGTACGTCAACATAACCTAAAAAAAAATTTTGTATTTATTTTTTTATTAAAACTTAATAACATTTGTTCAATATTCACTTACAGGAGTAGATGTGGCAATGAATACGCACTTAAAAACTGTAAAAATGACAATAAAGAATAGAGATCCTGTACAATTAGATACATTAAGTTTAAGAGGCAATAATATAAGATATTATATATTACCAGATTCATTACCACTTGAAACTTTACTCATAGATGACACACCAAAAGCAAAAGCAAAAAAGAAGGAAGCTGCACGAGGTTCGTAAATATGATTATTAATTATTCAGAAGTATAAGATATTATTTTTTGTGTTATGAATATAAATATTGCAAATACTTTATGTATTACGAGTACAAAAATTTATTAGTTTATGTGTCAAGTAATTCTATATAAGAAATATACATAAAAATATTTTTAATTTTTCAATGAGTAAGAACTTGTCACTCATATGATTTGAAATTATATTGAAATTCTATTGTTTGTTGTTTATACTGTATATTTTTATTTATATATAATTGAATATTATTAAAACAAATAGAATAAATGAATTCTTTGAAAATAATTATATTGAATAGATCATATTTTTTCAAAATTTTTTAAAATTTTTGTTGAAATGAAATTTGTAAACAGTGTTGGTAGATTTTACATAAAATTAGTTAATTGTTCTATTTATTACATTTCTAACATATGTTGGTCTAACATAAGTGATCTATTAATATATTTTTTTTTATTTATATATATATATACATACAATTTGCAAAATACAATTACTCATTTTTCAATAAAATTTTATGATTTTTATATATTTGATTAATAATCGTTTTAATTTTGTAATTATTTCATCAATGTATTTAAATATATAAAATATATATTTTATATAATTACACATGATATATACATCATGTATAATTCGTTTATATTTATATTGTTTTTAGGAGCAGTACGTGGTCGAGGTCGTGGTGGACGTGGTACGAGAGGAGGTCGAGGAGGACGAGGGAGAGGAAGGGGTAGACGATAATTATTTACGTGATTATAACATATTTAATTGAAATGATTAATTCAATTTTTTGCACTTTAAAAAAAATATTTACATAACATATTATATAGTATGAAAATAATTCAATAAATTGTAATACTTTTCTGACATCAGAACTTTTAATTATTACATTGTTATGGATGTTATTATTGAATATTTAGAAATATTTCTTTTATGTAGTTATTTCAGTATTTACTACTTTGTTTTGTGCATACTTTTAATTAAACTAATTAAAGGTATTAAATATGTATTAATTCGAAAATTATATTTGTTAATTTATAAATATAAATTTTTGATCTTAAAGAAAAAGTTTAAAATATTAAAATATTGTCATATATAGTATTCGAAAATCATTTTTATTTTTTTTTTTAAATTGTATCTAAATATATAGTAAACATTTTCAAAAAATTAGAAATAAGAAATGGAACATTTGAAAAAACATCATGCAAATAGTATTTGATCAATATATACTAAAGAATAAGGGCGTTTTAATGAAAATTCTTTTAAAATATTTTTTTATTTTTAAAAATTCTTATAAAAGCTACTATCTTTTAAATCTCATTCAAACAATCCTTTTTAAAATTAACTAACTTTATTTTCAAATGATAATAATAAGGAATTTGATAAAGTGTCAAGGGACAACATCCATGGTACAAATGATTCTAATTATACACAAAAGCTATTTGCACAACTATCCAGTTTTCAAATCTTTCTATTGTAGCATTTCATTACAACTTTTTATACAAGTTTATACAAGTTTTTATATTTATAAAAATATATATTATACATTAATTATAAATTAGATGTAGGTACCAAATTTCTGAAACTCGAAGAATTAAAGTCACTTTTGGGGATCTCGCGCACGGATACAGACAACGTACGTCTGCTTCTGAAACAGGAGAAAATTGAGAGCTTTCTTTTTTTTTTTTTATTTTATTAGTCCGAATGTCTTGTCTGCAGTACCCTGGGCCTAGAGTGCCCTTTAACCTGCATAAAGATTGATATTCGTTTGTGGATATTTATGTGGTTTGTTTGCATGATGAGGTGAGGTTAGGCTTGCAGGAAAAGTTTCAAATAACCTGCAGGTTCCTTGATACAGTTTGAATCTGAAGGTTTTGGTTCGTTAGGTTAATGCGTGTTTACGTAATTTGACCTTGATTTTGAGTGGTATGTTTTCGACTTGATAGTTGCCTGTTTCCCTGATGAGGAGATTTTGATGGTTGTTGTTGTAGGCCCCAGGTAGTGAGTTTTGAATATACTGCTTGATCGTGGGGATGTTGGCTAATTGGAGCTATGCTACGGCTGTGTCCCTCTGTCTATTGAGAATGATTCTAAGGAATTTGTTTTGTATGATTTGTATTTTATTGATGTGCTTTGGCAGCAGAGGCCCAGACTTGATATGCATAAGTAATTATTGGTCTTACGCATGTTAGGTACAGTAAGATTTTGATGTTTTTCTTGAGTTTGCTATTTCGGGCTATGAGGATATATCCTGGATAGTGCTGGGTAGGCAAGAGTAGTTCTTTTTTCTATGGCTTGTGAGTTTATTGTCTAGCGTTATTCCTAGGTAATTGGCCGTATTGGTCCATGGGATGGAGTGTTCATCGATCAGCAGTTTAGCTGTGACTTGCAGGGGTCTGCGGGAGAATGTGATGGCCTGAGTCTTTTTTGGGTTAATTTTTAGGGAGAAAATTGAGAGCTTGTATGTCATGTCGGTCTTATATAAAGCCGACTGTCTGTGCCCTTTCCAATCACGTGATTGGGAAGGTAGGTCTATGTACTGTTGGACCGGTCAGTCCCATAAAGTAATATTCGCAATTATTTTATGGGCCACACCTTTTATTTTTATTGGCCCTGGTCGTAGGCCCAAAGTCAGCAGAACGCGTCCCCTACATCACTAAAAGAAAAAATAAAGAAAAGAAAAATCTTTGGTTATTTTGGATATTGTTCCAAAAAATACTAGTTGAATATGAAATTTTAAGGGGATCAGCAAAAGATAGGGAATAAATATGAAATTTTAGCTTCCAGTATTTATTATCTGTACATTATAGATCACAAATAAACTTGAATTGAATTTTTTAAATAAAACATTTATTGTTTTCTGAATTCTATTTTTTTCTTTATGTTACGTTATCTATATTGAATTTTTGAGCAATACAAGTACATATTTTTTATTTTGTTATGTACAAAGAAATTTGAACTTTTAGTTTATAATTTATTTACATATCGATACTAATAAATATAAAGCCAAGTTCACGGGACATCGTAAGAATAGCAGTCAATTTAAGTTGTCAATCCTGTTCATATTATAGTTTTGACAGTTGGCAATTGTGTTATTGAAAACTGCAGTATATGAACTGTGCAAGTAACAATAATTGCTACAGTAATATTTTGTTGTAGTGTTTGTATTTAGTTTATTTTAAGTAATTAGTATAAGATTTAGTGAATTTGAAAAATTATTTAATGAATTAGTACAAGATATAACAACGCGTATCATTTGTACATTAGTGATATTTGTATTATCGTGAACATTTTTTCGATTAGCTCACCTAACCAAATTTCCACATGTTTTTTTGTTTACTAACTACCAAAACTAGCAAAAATTAAAAATTTTAATAATTACATCCAATGCACTTTGGAAATAAATTAAGATGAGTAAAAAACGTAACCGACAACCAGATGCAAATGGGGAATTAAGTGAAGGTTCAACAGATTCTTGTAACGAATCCAATACTACAGGTTAGAATTCACTTGTTTAAAAATTTTTAGTTTCACAATTCTTATTTCTTGTTACATTAAGGAAATATATATTTTTAAAATTATATATATTATATAATTATAATAACTTCTTTTATTTATAGAATTGAAAAATAATGTCTTAAAAAGTTAATTAGTAAATTACACTATAATGAAATCATCTAGTGATTGAACATTTATATATATAATCGAAATAACATTTATATATATAACATTTATATATATAATCGATTAATTATAATCGAATTCATACTAATGAATATCAGTTATTCATAAAAATTGACGATATATATATATATATATTAAAAGAGATAGAGTAAAAGTTCATAATTATTTATATATTTGATGTTCGATAAATTGTGATGGTGTTAGGTTAGTGCATAAATTTTGTCTGCTTTATTCTTAGAAATTTTTTTTAATATCATGAAAAATATAACATCAGTAGCACAGTAGATTAAACAAATCTTTGTATATCTCTTTCAACCAATTTATTAGGACTTACATTATTATATTACTTGATATGATAAAAATGAAGAATCTGACATTTGAATAAAAATATAAATAACAACTAAATAAAAGTTAAATAAAAAATCTGTGTATACATAAATAAAAAGCTGGTGAAAAGTTTATATTTATTTATTATAATTAATGATTTGCATAGTTGGTTTTGAATACCTTTCTCATAAAATTCTTTAATTTTTATAAAAATAATGGTACTATATATTAAGTGATTATATATCTGGTAAATTTAATTGTATTTATTTCTAATATAATTTTTTTTTCTTTAACAAAACTTATATTTAACTAATAAACACTAATATATTTGTTTGGTTTTTATGATTAAAATAAGATTTAAATTATATTTAATATTATAAAAATTCGGTGACAAAATGGCAGTGTTAGCAAATTATCAATAAATTTGGCAATAATATTAATTAGTATATAGGTATTAATATAATTAATTTTATTATCATTGAAAGTTTAATATTGCTCAGTTCTTTAAGAATCTTGTTTCTCCTTTTTTTTCCATTACAATTTTTGATGTATATATCCAGTTTATACCATGAGACTAATGAATTTTTGTAAAATCTGTTTATTTCTTATTTAGTTTATTAATAAAAGGTCTGTTTTTACTTATGTAACTATTATATATATATATATTTTTTTAATAATATTATAAATAGTTTCAAATACATATTAATTTTAAGGCTATAATTTTCATTTCAACCTTAATTATTCTTGTTTGTTTATTGATCACTATTTTTCTAATCTTCTCTGCTCAAACCTATTTAAAATATTAATATATCAACAATTTCTTGAAATATCTTTACCTGTTTTTCTAATTCCATTATTCTTTCATATGTATGGATATAAGTTTTATTTTACATTTAGTATTAAAATACAAAAATGACGGAATAGTATTATTTGAAGGACTCGGAATTCAATTAGTATAAGTCACTTTATTAAAAATGATTTATGCCATACAAACATATTTTTCTTATCAAAATCTTCAGTCAGTTATAATATTATAATAATTATATTATGATAATAATTATACCATAACTGAACTATTTAGTCAACTGACATATTTAATAAGAAAAAGATAAATTATTTCCAGTGAAAGATGATGCTGATTGATTTCTGGTTGTTTCATTGTTTCTATACATCTCTGCGTATAGGTATATACGGTCCTCAATTCTCTTGTTTATATTAAAAACATATTTTTAACTCACCTATAAATTATCATAGTTTTTTAAATATAATTTTAAGTGTATAATTTAGATAAGTATACATTAATACAAATAATGTAACTAAATATTCTTAATTCTAATATGAGAATTTTGTTGGAAGATGACAAAATAAATGACATAAATAAAGTTATATAAGTTATACAAAAATAAGAAATATAGGCTATCATTCTAAAATAACATAGGTTCAAAATTTCCAAACCTTATTATGAAGATTTTTTTGATCCATTGTAAAAGGTAATTGTTTCTAGAATTTATTAGACTAAATATAAGCATAGCTAAATATAAGACTAAATATAAACATAGATGAGCAGTAGAAGTGAGAATTAATTCTGCTGTCACTGTATTGTTTGAATTTTAGTATAAAGAGATTTTTATTTTTTTGAATACTATAAATTGTAATGGAAAAAATTGAATAATTTTAAGGCTTTAAAGAGTAATTTTAATGACTTGCAAAAGATGTTTTTTAATAATGTGATGTTCATATACACAAGTGAGAAATTATCATAAAAAATAATAATTAATAATTTTTAAAAGTAAGATTTATATAGAAAATTTACTGTAGGCAGAAACCTATTAGCAAACAATAAATAATAATATAATAAATTAAATTTTTATTTATAATATATTTAAAGAAACAAAAGTTGTTATGTTAATATTTATAGAAATAAAAATAAATGCAATGTTAATATTTATAGGTAATAATTGTCCACATATTCCAAAGGCAGTGAATTTTAATAAAATTAAGAAATGTGTTAATAAAGTGGGAATTAGTATAGAATGTTCAATATGTAAAAAGTGTAAAAATTCATCAAAAATCGATGATGAGGTATAAACTTAAAAACTTTTTTTGTATTCTTTTTAATTTATTAATAATATATTTCTAAAGTGAAAATATTTAAAATTTAGGAATGTGTAACAAATTCAGCAATACTGATTTGCTTACAATGTGGACATCAAGGTTGTGGAAGAGAAGAATGTGGTCATGCTTTGGAACATTATAAGAAGCCACATAGTGATTGCCATGTCATGGTTGTTGAAAGTCTTTATTGGAGTGTTTGGTGTTTTCAATGTGAAACAAAGATTAATGTTGGATATAAGTATGTGTGAAAGTAAATTTATATAAATTTACTTATATATAAATTTATCCTATGAAATCCCATCATAATGAAATAAGTTAATAAAATATTTATTTTACTTTAGATTTTAAAGTCTTTTTAAAATTTTAATTAATGTCAAAGGTGTTGATAAATAAGCAGTACAAATATTTGTTTTAATTAAAAAAATAAGTAGTTGTAAGATATTTCCATCAATTATAGACTAAGTAATACTTTTCATTTTTTAGAAAAAAGCTTCAAGAAACAGTGGAGTTTATAAAAAGATCTACTACAGTAACAAATTTGTTACAAATTAAGACGTCAGTAACTCAACATCAAAAAGAAACCACAGATATAGATAAAGTAGATAAAGAAAAAAAATTGCATAATTTGCCGAAAGTAGGGGTATGTATTTTAATAATTTTAAGGATAGGGGGTTGATGAGAGGAGAGGATATTCATAAATGAAAGGCCTAACCAAGAGGTACAGGAAAGAAAAAAAATTGGGGACCACTTTTCTAAATTATTTATCACTCGAAAAAATATTTCAGACAAATCTTTCGCTACGTTTCGAAAAGAAGTAATTTAGTGAAATCGACTTGTTTGTAGATAGGAGCATTTCAGAGATTTCAAGATCAATTTTTTTAAAATGAAACCCTATATTTTTTTATACACTAATCAATGCATATTTTTATTTCCTAAAAATAGTATTATATTCTATAAAATATTATAATTGAATTATATTCTGTAAAATAGTATTATGTCGAAAACCTATTAGTTTGGGAGATATTTTAATTTTAATTTTATAAAATTAATATTCGTATGTTCATATTCTGTGTGTTTGACGTGAAAATATGACGAAAAGAAAGAATAACATTTTTTCGCCTAATTTTGAAAAAAAATCAATTTCAAATATTTTTTTTATTTAAATATTTGAATTAAATTTCCTGATTGAATAGAAATGAATGACAAAAATACAATCTTTTTATTCAAAGCCTCGTTTTTGAGAAAATTCAATTTGGAAATTATTAAGTATAGTGAAAAGCATAATTGAACATATAATGATGAAAAATTGTCGATACTTTAAATTTATAACTTCGTAAAAGAAAACTATTTTAAAGTCTTTTACTTTGACTGTCCTAAATTTTTTTTTTCAAAAATATTTTTATATTATGTGGCGAGAAGGAAAGTAAGAATTTTTATAATATTTTTTTAAAGTAAAATTCCATTTGCTACATGAAATGCTTTAAAATGTTAAAATACTTGAGAAAAAAACGAGTTCAAGATAATAGCAGTTTTACGTTTTAAAATAAGACCAAATAGATTGTTATGTGTGTGTTTAGTTTAGTTTATCATTATACTTGTCACTATACATGTATCAAGCAAATTTTAACGAAACATTTGTAGTGCATTTTCTTGAGAATGAAAACACACATTTTTCAATTATTTTTGTATGTAAAGCAGTGTTCATTATTATTTACTCCAGTATGAAATTAGCCAAATTCTCGAAATGAATAAAAAAAATTTTGTTCTTTCTTTTCGACTCATTTTTATATGTAGAATCATCTCCTACTCGGTTGTTTATGAATTGTGGAACATCCTGTATAATAATAATGATAAGTATAATACAAATTTGTTTTATTTTAGGGTTTACTGAATTTGGGGAACACCTGCTTTTTTAATGCAGTTCTGCAATGTTTAGCACAAACTCCTTTCTTAGTCAAAGTTCTTGATGATTTACGTCTTCCTGGACAAAAATTCATTTTACCAGGAGGCAAGCATAAATTTGCTAATTCAGAGGAAGTTGATCTAGTAAGTTATTTTTAACATATGCTATTAATAATGTTGCTGAATATGTGACAAAACGTACCATTGAAAATTGAAATGAAATATTATAATAATATATTTCTACAGTGAATTCTTGAGAAATATAATTACCCTAAATAAATTAAGTACAAAATATTTTTTTAATGTAAAATAGATCTGTCAAATAATATTTGTAGAAATAATATTTGTTTACATTATAATTAGTTGTTATTAATAAAAAAATTACGCAAAATAGCAATTTTTTGTAATATTTTTTATTTTATAGCTTTTTTTATAATTATTATTTTATTACTATTATTTTTCTATGTTTATAATTATAATTACTAATCTATGTTTGTTTTATATTGACTATCTCAAATTTTTCTATTGTCTTTGGAGATATGAAAAAATTTTTTTAACAAAACTTATTCAATACAGAGGAGGCTATAATATGACAATAATAATTTTTTCATAGAAAGAGAGGTTTCAGAGATCTCAAAATCACTCCCATTTTTAAAAATGAAATGATATATTTTTTGATCCATTAATTGATGCACCTTCATATTTTCTATAAAAAAAAAAATATTATTATTAATCTATGTATGTCGAAAAATTATTAAGAGATAATTTAACTAATTTTATAAAATCTAAAAGCATTATTTGTATTATCATACAAGATATGCATTGTAATATGTATTTTTTTAATAATATATAATTGTAATAATATTATACCATAAATAACTTGCTGTTATATAAATTATTTAAATATTATTAACAAAATATTTTTTAGCCACCAATAGAGGGTGTTTTAGAAGGCTGGGGAAGTTTTACCTCAATTTTATACAAAACACTTACAGAAATGCAAAATACTGATGGACGCCAATCTTATCGACCATCAGAGTTATTAAACTCGTTTAAAAAAAAAACAATGCAATGTATGGATGGAGGACAACATGATTCGCATGAACTTCTTAGACATCTGCTAGAAATAGTACGAAATGAAGACCTCAGAGTGAGTATATATTTTATTTCATTCTAATAATATTTTTAGTAGTGATTTATGTTAAGAAACAAAAAAAAAAAAAAACAAATTAAAGACCTATTAAAAAATATTATGTCAAAAAATAATGTGAATTTTTTATTATTTTTTTATCATTATTATTTATTCTCAAATGCTCGTATTGTTAGTTTTTATATCATGTAAAAAATTATGTAACATTTCATTTAAAAAATTGAAAATTATTTTTGGTTTTTGAAATATATTGTAAATACAAAAAATTGATATATTTTATTATATTGATTACAAAATACCATATTTACAATAATGCCGTTTTAAAAATTAATTTATTGACAATTAATCTTTACATTTGTAACATAACACTACAGATAACAATATTATTTTGTTGTTCGTAACAATATTATCATATTATCAATAATTACATTAACTATATTTTATTAACTATATTTCATTAACTATATTTTATGAAATTTTATAAAATTAAATGAATATTAATTTATTTATTATTTTATTGATCAAAAATTAAAACATGTATTAATGCGAAAATATAATTTTTTTTAGAGGTATCAAAGTATAATTCTGAAAGAAGTTGGCTTGAATGAAAAAACTAAACCAGAGGCTGTAGAAGAAAGTCTCAAATCTCGTGTAAAATTCTATGGAAATCAGGCTAGTTCAAGATTACTTGGACCAGAACTTGTTTTTCGTGGAGTTTTGGTTTCAACGTTAGAATGTCTGGATTGTCATCATTCTTCACAAAGTACAGAGCCTTTCTTAGATCTCAGTTTGCCGGTTATGGCCGATAAACCGCAACCACCAGTTTTGAAGTAAGAATAATTCTTTGAAATATATGAGAAAACTAAAATTTGTGAATACTTCATTTGATCTTGTTGCCTAAAATATTATAAAGATATTGTATATATTTTAGAAATTAATATTTATAATATTACAATGTTTAACTTAACTCTTTATATCGTAACGATGTATAGAAGTATCGTTTTATGTGAACTGTTTGTATCATTTTAATATAACAATAATTCCTTATGGTATTCAAAAAGATATGTAAGTTAAATATTTGTGGTTCGCTGAACGAGAGTATTTAAATATCGCGTAGTACTCTTATTTTTTCCGATTTACCATTTTAAACGTATAGAAAAGTCTTCCTTATGAATATCTATTTTTCGAATATTTTGGTATTTAAATATTATATTATCGGAACAAAATGTCTGTTAATAACTGGAAACTCGTCTGCTACTAGCAGATATTCTATTCTGCTAACTTTTGAATATTAAGATATTCGAAAAATAGGAATTCAATTAAGCAAGGCTCTATTGTATATAAAATTATTAGAAAATTTATTTTCCTTTTTTTTTATGTTTACAACACGTCAGAAATCATTTAATGACACAAAAATTTAATTAATTAATAATAAAACATAATAGTTTCATAGTAATTGGAAATCCCGGTGTACTTTTTTGAATACAACGAGCATTAATGAGTTAGGTTGCCTATTTAACATTCATCTATAAATAATATATGAGGTCCGTACATTTGAATTTTGAATATATGAATTGAATGTTGAGATTTTATATTTGTTCACTATTTCTTCTTAACAAATATCTCAATCAGTTATCGAGGTCTTTTATTTTATTTAAAATTGAATAATTCCATTTAAAATATAATAATTTATTTTTAAGAATAGTAAAGCTATTTTAGATTATAAAGATAAAATACTTATCCTGCATATTAGAAGGATTTATTAGGGGCACATGATTAAATGAGACATTCACTTTAAAAATAATATTAATAGAAATAAGAATAAGAATGGTAATAAAAATATATTATTAATTCGTTATAACTCTTTAGAATTTTATAAATTATTAAAGATACTTATTTAAATCAATAGATGCATGCATTATATTATATTTTTATTATTAATCTAAACATATTGTTATTAATATTAATCTAGTAGAATCTATTTAAGTACACATGTAATATTTAAGTACAATTTCTGCATGTTATGCTAATCGACGAAATAATAATTCTATCTGAATAACTTTATTACGCATGTATTTATTTAAGAAGAAAGAGCAATGGCTTTGAAGATACGTTTGACATAGTCGGAAATAATATTTCACATGTACCTTCAAAACATCAATTGAAAAAAGAAAAAAAAGCTGCCCGAAAAAACCGAAAAAGTAAAAAACAAGACATTCGTAATCAGAATGATACTTTTATATCCGACAAAAGTAATACCGTTGAAGAAAATAATGGCGTGCTTGAATCAGGTAAAATATCTTATATTTTTTGAACTATCACTTTATATTGATGTTTGAAAAATAATATTTAGTTTGACTAATATAGCTTAACATTTAGCTTCAGATAAATATCTGAATTGAAGAAAACATTTGCATGAAAAATTGTTTTTCTCTTTTATATCATAGTGATTTGAGCATAGCAACAATTTTTTGTAGAAGAGAGTGATGCAGATGTGGAAGATAATGCAGAAATAGAAGGTCTTCTTCCAGAAGTTGGTGAATCAGGTTATAGTTCAGAAAAACAATCTACATTAGCAAGCCCAGCTTCTCCATCAACTGATACAATGAAAACCACTACTGAAGTACCATTAGATAATTATTTACAATTTAGTACAACAAATAATATTTCCTTAGTACAGCTTCTAAATCGTTTTGATACAAATTCATTGCCCAGGTATTATTAATTATAAGTAAATCAAATTGCTATTTATTAAAAAAGATATTTAACTCAATAATATATTTGCTTCACAGTCCGAGTTTAAATGTATGTACACCAAATTCATCACAAACAAAAGCTTTAGATGCTGTAGATAGTTCTGAAAGTTTGGAAAATGAAAGTGGAATCCAAACCAGATATTCTGTATCTACTTCTTTAGCAATGAGTTCAGATTTCACGAGTCCAGAAATTCCAACTGTTAATTTTACGCCGATTACGTTAAAAGAAAATACAAATTCTACTTCAAATATAGCAAATGGTGAAAGTATGGAAGATACAAAAGAAAATACTAGTTTAGATTTAACGGAGTCTGTTAATCATCACATCAAACAAGAAGATTCTACATGCAATCAATGGTTTTGTAGAAATTTATTTTACTCTTTAAACTTTAAATTTTTATATTTTATTTTTAATTAAATATTATACATATATTAAATTTTATTTTTATGCTGTATAACATTATGTTAAATATAATATATTTTTATAGTTATATATAGTTATATATTCGTATAGTTTTATGCATATATATATATATCTTAATTTTTGTATGATATTCATTTTTATTGAAGAAACTAAAATTTTATTTTATGTATTTATGTAAAATTTAGAAATTTAAAAATAATTTTATGTAAATTATAAAATTATACATAAAATTAGTGTTCTTTTAGGTGTTAATTTTTTGTTAGTTATCATTATATTTTTTTATTATTTATAATTTTTTTTTATTTGTTATGTTGTATTACAATTAAATATTTCATCATTATATATATAACTAAAATATTAATACGTTGATGTATAAATTTAAATGATTTAAAGTGATTTAAAATGATTTATATTCGTTTTCACAATAGGAAAAAGGAAAGGAGAAAAACAGAGGAACATTCAAATGACATTAATGGCGGAATTGATAACATCACTTCTGGAATTTCAAAAATAGGAATTAGTGGTAGTCTTCAACAATCGCCTACTAGATATTCAACCAAGGAAGGAGAATGTTCAATACAATCTTGTTTAAATCAATTTGCAGCTTTAGAATTGATGAGTGGTAGCAATAAAGTTAGGTGTGAAGCTTGTACTGCCAAAGAAAAAAAGGTATATTTTATATCAATTCAAAACTACAAAGTATTTGTTTACTGAAAGTATTTAAAAAAAGCAATTTACATTTGATAATTAAGATTTTTATAAAAGAAAGGAATATTTTTTTATTATAATTTAAATAATGATATCTCGCATATTAGTAAAATTTCATAACTTTTAATATTCTAATTGATTAATTTAAATTTCGAATATTGTGCATTAAATATATGAAATGATATATAAAAATTTTAGTTTTCAATGTGAAAATGTAAAATAGTAAAGTGAAATATGTTTTTCGTGATGTTAGGTGAAGCCAAATTGTAAGATGGTATGCACCCCAAGTACGAAACAATATCTGATTTCTCGTGTGCCTGCGGTTCTAATCTTTCATTTGAAACGATTTCAAGCACAACGAGTCGATTTCCGAAAAGTAACGAGACATGTTTCATTTCCAATATTGCTTGATTTAGCACCTATCTGTAAAAATCATAAAAAAGCTAGAGTTTACGCACTTTATGGTGTTGTTGAACATAGTGGAACGATTCATGGTGGACATTACGTTGCTTACGTAAAGGTAATTGTCTAAATATTAAGAATTTACTATAAATCAATTTAATATGTTGTTAAAATAATACTATTACACTTCGTGACAAAATAATAGGACATTTTCAATAAATTTTGAATTTTTTTTTAGTCACGATTACCACTAACATCAGATGATCCTCGATGGTCGTTTCTGCCAGCAAATGATAATAAAGATACGCATGAAAGTTCATATTCTTCAAATTCTGAGTCTGAGTCTGAAGAAGCAGCTGCAGCTCCTTTATCAACAATAGAACCACCCCCTGGTAAATGGTATCATGTTTCGGATTCTAGGTATGTAAATTTTATTTATACATATATAATTAATTAATAGATCAAACTATAGTATGGGAAAAATTATTTAATGTGAAATAATAGATTGTGGATACATAAATAATATAATTTTTAGAATACTACATTGTTCTTATATATTTGTCAATATATTTGTCACCTGTACTTAGTATATATATTAGAAATTTTATTTGACGTAATTATCTCCTAAGAATTTTTTGCATATTTATAAAATTCCAAATTTTTTATAAATTTTGCTATTAAAGAAATTAATATCTTTGAAAATTCATAAATATTGCTTTTTATGATATAACTTTATTGAGTATGTTTGTAAAATAAAATAAATTTATATCATCTTTAGTTTTACTATCGGAATGCTACTAATTATTGTTATACATACAGTTAACAACTTAAAAGAGTTAGCATTTTATATGGATACAGGTGAATCGAATTTGTAATCATAATTTGATTTTATGTTTCAGAGTAACGGAAGTCGATGAAACAACTGTGTTACAAAGACAAGCCTACCTCCTATTTTATGAAAGAATTCTTTGAGCATTTTTTCAGAGCAGATCTTCTTCAGTCCTTGTTTGAAACATCGACGAAATTTGGATTTTGCATCAATGAAATAAATCGAGTGAAAAATAATAGAATGAATTTTAAAATACTATAAACTACGATTATTTATATTAATTGTGAACAAGACTATGATTTATTTCTGGAGTTTACGATTTCAATATAAAATGTCGAATTTGTAATTTGATGAGTATGTAGGTTACTAACTATCCCAAGTGGAAATTTTTATTAAAATTATTTTTTATTTTAATTAATTATATTTTAAGAAAGTATGCATCATTTTTTACAAATTAAAGAATCTATTATACTTATAGTATAATAGATTATACTACTATACTTACTAGAACATTATTATAAAATATTTATTTTATACTCTTCCATTTGATATAATAGATGTTATTTCTACTTTGATACTGCAATCTTTCAAAATCTTATAATATTAAATTATTAAAAAAATTTTAAAACGTTAAAATTCTAAATATCAAAACAGTTTGAGCAAAAATGAAATTTATGCTTAAAATAAATAATTAGTTCGGGAGTAATGTTTTAATTGTTAAATAAATAAAATAATACCTAGACTTCTTAACAGAATTGTCCTACGTACAATTATAATCAATAAACTAAATGCAAAAATCCATATTTCATATTTACAAACTTGAAGTTTCTTTCTCTAAATGTTAGCCAATTGACGTCATTTTATATTTTTAAAACCTTTGTTTATAAACCAATTATAAATTACTATTTATGAATAAAATAAATTTTAAACAAAACATTAGAAAAAAATAATTGTTGCATTAGTACGTATTTTATAGTTCAATTCATCATATATTACTACATGTTCTCTTTTAGATAAATGTAATTTAAATTTTGTGCTCTTGATACTGAAACGGTGTTATCTTGATTTATTTTCAATATAGTCCAATTGTTTAGAATCATGTATATATGTGTTCCAATTGCATTTATATAAATAAATTACTCTTAAGTATAATTATTATAAATTTCTTATTGATTTACTTCATTGATTGATTAACCCATTATTTTGATACATCATATCAACTATGTTGATATATCAATGAAGCAAGGAAAATTATTTTTACTAATAAGTTTATGTATAAGTTTTTATAAGATTTTTATGTATAAGTTTATTTATAAGATTTGTAAGAAAAGATAGGTGGTCTTCTGACTGTTTTCAAAGAATAACAAAAGTGTGTGTGAGAAAAATATTAACATAAATACTCTGATATTTCCACTTTCATGATCAAGTTTATTATTGATAGAATATGAACATTAATTACTTTTATAATAAAAATGGTTTTAAAAACTTTTTTTCTTATTGAATTAGTAATAAGACTTGTCTTATTATTAATTTTGATGTTTTTTTTTTATATAATAGTATGAATATATTGTCGAAATTAGTATTAGTATTTATATAGTTCAAATTAGTTAACATTATTGAATATTCTATTGATATAATTATTGAGAGCTCCGTCTTTCTACTATCCATGCTTTTATTTTATTATAGATTATTTTATATCGAAACTGCCACAACTCGAAAAAGTATCTTTTGGAAGAGAACGAAATAGTTTCTGAATAAAATTAGAAATTTTGTTAATCAAGAAAACAACACGAATTAAAATGAAACGCGATAAATTCTTCAGATGTATTTCTACACCATTTTGGCTTGGAAGAAAAGTGCAACAGAAGCTTATCAATTGCTTATGAAAAATTATGCTGAATTTGCACCATCGGAAACAGTATATAGGAATTGGTACCGACAATTCAAAAGTAGTAATTATGAGGTTCACGTCATACACAAAAATTCGAAAATGCACAACTACAAACTTTATGAGAAAACTGTTCAAATTTGTTTGCGAGTTTGTTATCGTTGCAAATAAAAACAAACATACTGAGAGGAATGGCTCGCTATAGCATTTCGCTCTTCCCTTATCTCCGCGTTAGTATAAACACATCGCACCATTCTACTAGTCTCACAGCTCTTCTCTCTACTCGCCGGTATTTTTGCCGGCATCTTCGCCATCCTCGCTGCTATCTACGCCGCTCCACTATAATCTCCGATTTAGCTAAATTTAAAAAATATCGAAAAAATTATTTGTACGGCTGCGGTGGGAAAGAATGCACAAAATGGAAATTAATTTAATAGTGAAGGAACCAGCAGACTGGGTATGATCCGCAGCGGAAAAAAATTCGCCGTCAGTACGTTACATGATATTTTGGTTTGAAAAGACTGAGGGTAGCTGCAACATGAAAGTATAAAAGAATAAGTTATGAACTAGGAAACCAAATACTTAATTTTAATTAAAATTTATTTATATGTTTAAAATATTCCAAATACTTTTAATATTTCATATTATAAAATTTTGGTTTATAAAGTTTTAGTTTCTTTCTCAATTATGTTTAAAAAAAACATGTTAAAGAACACAAACAAAATTATAAATAAATGAAAATCCGTGAGAAATTTAAATTGTTACTCTTAAATTTCTCAGCCTTTTTGCGTAAACAAATTTCAATATATGATACAAATAGTTTTAATTACAACTTTGCTATTTTGATGAGTATAATTCTCATTAAGAATGTTTTAAATTGATTAAAATATTTGAAAATTAAAAAGTTTCATTATTGCAGAAATATTAGATTGTAAATATTAGTTAATTGTAGGAGTCAAGGACTTTTTTAATTCTTTGATGTTCCAACTACTATATTTGTGCCAGAGATTCTAATTCTATATTATTTATAAAATAAAGCAATATCATTTGCTAATAGAAAAGTATTTTATTTTTTATTTATTTTTATTTTCTGGTCGATGTCATGTGTAGTATAAAATGTCATGTGTAGTATAAAATTAATTTGAGATCAGGCAGTTTTTGAAAGAGAAATTCAATATCAATGGTCTCATTAATTTGATGCCACCCATGAGATGTGTATAATTAATATACATAGTTTTACAGTCCATAGATTTATATATTTGTTTTATATTTATATTATTTATACTTTCGCATAATGTTAGGTTTTGTAATAATTAAGATAATCTATATAGTTTAAAATATAGATAACCGGTAAATTATGAAAAAATTTAATGTTAAACTTTTGAGATATCCTTTCCAACAGAATACACAAACTCAAAAAATAATTATAAATCAAATATAAAAGAATAAAAAAGATTACAATTAGATAAGATTAGAAATATAATATAACATAAGATAACAGTTCATATACTTTTATAAGAAAAGTGATATAAACAACAAGTCACAGCTAGAGATAAAAATTCAACCCTGAGCAAAAATGTATAGCGATTTAACTCATTACATCACCTGATTTGCTATTCATTAGATAAAGCTATCTCAAAATTTTAATGTTAAATATGTCGTAAATTATTAATGTCTATGTGCAAAATCATACAGTTCTTATTAGAAAATAAATAATTTGTTTACAAAAATATTAATTATATAACAAACATTTGCTTAATCTTTTTTTAAAATTTTGTATGATTGAATATATTTTTTGAATGTTTTAACATTTTTTACCTATTGATATATTCGTTTAATAAATAAAAATTAAATAAATGTACGAAATGATTTTCTTATTCCATTATTGGGGATACATTTTCAAAATAGCAACACAGATTTCCACTGCATCTGTTTCAAATGGATGAATTAGCATAGCGGTTCTCACATGTTCCTCAGGAAAAACATTTGACAAATGATAATGTATTTTTGCTCTGATGTCGAGAAAATCCCTTAACATGTCTGGCGGCATAGCTGAATATAAGGGAGATATATGGACATTTAATTGTGAATCTGAAGCACCCAATCGTTGATTCGATCCTGATGGTAAAGTCATGTTTGAATTATTTGACAACCATGCTTGGTAAGAATCTGGCGCTGAAGCAATACGTGTTACATGTTGATGATGCTGTCCTCCTTCAGTATGGTCCCAACTAGACAATTGAAACGCTTATAAAAACATTTTTCTTACTTGCAATTTCTGTTTAATTGAATCTTAAAATCAATATCGTAATATTACAATCGTAGAAAAAAATAAAAACTCACTTCATGCCAACTTTATAGGCTGATTCGTTGCTAGAATGTCTAGTTAAAGATCTGTGCTGTGCTGTAGAAGATGTTATTACAGTTTGCTGTGATAATGAATTTATTTGAGATGTTTGTTGATATTGTCTCAGCTGGTGGAGTCGAGGATCGTAGACTGGATTTAAAGTCAACTGTCTCTGCAATTTTTTATGTATATTTGGTGGTTCTGTTTCTGGTTTATTCATTCTTCCTGTTGACCGGCAGGGAGAACGATAACCTAAAATTGAATGAAAATGAGTTTTAATAGAAGCAAATAAATATAAGAATAAATATACAAATAAAAAAGGAAAGCTTTCAGTATGGTGACAATAGGAAGAGGGACTTATATAACTGTATTTAGGGGGAGAGAGGGGGAAGGGGATATACAAAAATACAAATCTGAAAAAATTTTTTAAAGAAAATGAACAGTTTTGCAATAAATAAAGTTTTTATTTCATACTTAGCATTATGGGAACCAAGATTGCTCCAAGTTGCATGAATTTGTCACTTAATCTTTTGACTGCGCCCAGCGCCTACAGGCGCTGGGTGAGATTTTTTCATTTAAGCTAATAACGCCATTAGACGCCAATCATTTTATAAAGAAGAGCTTGAGCAGAAATAATATATAAATATATCTCGCAAAAGATGTAGATTTGATGTGCTTTGTTTCTGAGTGTTCCACAGTCAAAAGATTAAGCCTACTTAAGCTCGTCTATGTTAGGTCATGTCTATGCTATCTGTCTAAGTCATGCAATTTATAGCAATCTTGGTTCCCATAATGTTAAAGTGATGTAAAATAAAAACTCCATTTATTCCTAAATTGTTCATTTATTTCCTAAAAATATCTTTATCAGATTCTCTTCAATGCCATCATTGACTAATAATGCAAGTCTGAAGTTTTTCTAGAAGGAAATAATCTAGTATATATATAAGGAAATAATCTAGTATATATATAATTTATTAATACATAATTTCAGAAGAGCATACTTTGTCAAAAATATTAATCGTCGTACATCTTACCTTGAGAACTTGTGGTAGATGGAACTTGTGACCCATGTATAGTAGAATTTATTGGTTGTTCAAGCATAACATTTTCTGCTGATCTACTTTTTGTAACTGAAGGTAACGACTGAATAGTAGTAGTTACCATTGATTTGGTTTTACAAAGTGGTTGGTGCTGATATGTATTGGAAGATATATTGTTTGATGCAAATACACTTGGATTTGAACCTTTTACTTGAAGCTGCTTTTGCACATGTTCTACTAATTTCTCTGTAACTGATTTCTGAGGATGCAGGCCTCTTTCAGGATGTCGAAATTTACATTTATTCCCATAAGTACATTTCTACAACGAAAGAGATTAGTTTTCATTTGTTTTTTATTATTTTACCTTCTTAATGATTGCTATTTCTAATAAATCCTCTAAAGAGAATTAACTATTCTTTAAATAATTTAATAAAATATATGCAATATTTAACATACTTTCGCATATGGGCAAGGTGGTGCAGGATCGGTTTTTTGAGGAAAAGTTTTTAAAAAATTATCTAACGTGGGACCACTTCTACCTAGTGGATCATCTGGTGGCATAAAACGATCATTTACAAAGGTATACATTAAAATTCTTTCTTCTATAACTTTTCGAAACTCTGGATTTTCCTGTGCCAAATCCCTATAATTATCATTGCTGACAACAATACCATCAATTTCTGCTGCTAGTTTTAAGATATAACGATCATCGTAACAAATCATTCTTTTGCCACCAACTAATCTAAAATAGAAAATTAAAATTGAAAATAATAACTATTTAATTTTATTTCTTATAAATTATTGTTACTATTGCTTTAACAAAGTATTATTCAGAGTATTAATTATTAATATTTTCGTAACATGTTTAGACAGTAAATAAATATTTATAATTAAATACTTTTGAATATGTTTCACAGTAATCGCTTAGTTTTAAATATATTTTCTCCAAATATGTTAAAAATAGTAAGGACCCAAAGTATAATATTTGCAAGTTGCAAGAAGTTTCTTTTTTTGAATCGAATTTTATTAAAAAATTTTTTAACTTCCTTCGCTTTTCTTCAAGGTGTTTTTAAAGCTTTTTCAAAACCAAACAAATACTGAAATAGTATGTTGTGCTCTATAATATTAATAACATTAAAAATATCTTGTGCTATTGTATATTTGGTAAGTTTTCTGTAGCATAGAAATTGATTCACTATTTCGTTATTTTTTATTCAAAATAAAACAAAACAATTCTATTACATAAGCTTTATCGTTAATATCAGTTGATTCATCAATTTGTAAAGTAAAATGTCGTTTGAAAAGTTTATGTATGAAGTTTGAAAAACTTTTTTCATGTTTTTCTCAACATTATCTGAGATTTTTAATTCTATTCTTTTATTGTAATCTGAATGAAAAATTTTCGTGGTTTTCTTTTTTATTTTTAGTATTTAGTTTTATTTTATGAAATTAACAAATTTAATATTATTTAAATTGTATATCAATTTGCTTAATTTGTACATCAACAATGATGTACAAATAATCTTCTAACATAATTAATACTTTTGAAATAATCTTTAGTATTTGAAACAAGATTAGAGTGCTAGTAAAATGGCATTTTAATTGAACAAGAATCATTGCGTTATTGGAATCAAATAAAAGACAGTGTGAAATGCCATTATTAATTACTACTTCATACATATTTTGCTTAATATCATATGTTGTTTTAATAATAAATTTATTTACTATGCTTTATTCTGATGTTGAAAATGTTTTTAAAGTTCATACCAGACTTGGATATAATAATTACTGAAAATAGAGATGTTGATTATAGTGTTTGTACAAACATTTTATCTGTAACTTGTACGTAATAAAATTTGTTCAAGTATAATTTCCTAGGTCCTAAGTAGCTTTTAGCGTGTCGTACTTTTATAATTTCGTGAAATGTTAGTTAATGATCATCAATGAATATTAATGACTATTCTGAGAGCATGTCTACTTGAATTTTATGCCAATTTTGTTTCGTTTGTTTCCATTTATGTGTGTTTCAGATATTAGTAGTCAATATTAATTACTACATACTTTTTTATGTTGCTGCACGTTATGAGAAATTGTTACGCTAAATTGAATTATTGTTATTAATTTATAATTTATTGATATACAAACCTAGATGGAGTGAAAACTAACAAACGGTCCCTTTCCAATTCTCCTAAAATTTCTTGATCAGCGATAGGATTATCAATCCTAGAGGTTTCCTTCCTCCACTTTGGTACAAACACGGTGATTTCTTTGTGCCCTCGAGCCTTAAACCAGTCTACACAAATTTTAATTCCTCTACAAGAAAATATTTCATTGTTTCCGTGGCTCATCGCCACGTTGCTTCCATCAATTACAACAGATCTAAGACTACTGGAGCATCCACTGTTTTCGCTAGACATGAAGTCAGTGTCTGTGACGTTATCAGCCTCTTCTGGCGTGTCGACTGATTTTTGAGAGCAACTAGCACCGAGTTTTATCAACTCGGCCAAAAGTTCATTTTGTTCTGGATCTGGACCCAATTTCTCTAGCGCTGTCTGAAGTAAACGTTCCGTATATCCAAGTTTAAGGGCGAATTCTACTCGAGCAGTGTACCCTAAGAAACAAATGTTTAATTATTTTAATAATACACGACGATACCCTGTGTAAAGTTAGGGTTAAACATATTGTGAGAATATTAATCAATAAACTGAGCAGCGATTTCAACTGAATGCTATATACATTATATAGAGATTCAGGCAACTGTGAAAAGTATCTTTTGTTTAATTGAAGTTAGAAAAGAATGTTAGAGAAAAAAGATGAAAATTTTAAAATAAGCCACGTTGGCATTGACGATCATATTTCTTTTTTTGGCAAATGTAATAATGTATTGTATTTTGCACTTGCATTATTTTTTTAAATAGAAACTTTTTTTTATTAGGGTTGATTAGCTTAAAAGCTAATTAGCTGATTAGCTTATTCTAATCTTTAATTGTGAGAGACAAGGACAAGGATTCGCGAATTTGTTTTCCTCATCAAAATTGAAATTAAATATATTTTATCAATTGTCAAATTCATCAATTTTCGATCATATTATTCCAATACTTTTTTTACATAGAATAACAAGCGAATTTGACGTACGCAAAAAAAAAGTATATTTACTTATACACAGATTAACAATAAGTAGTCTATTTTGAATCTTTCATCTATTTTTCTCTAGCATTTTAATTCTAACATTCTAATTCCAACCAACAAAAAGACGTCTTTTGTTGCATGAATCACTTTGTATACAGCTTTAAATAATGCTTTGAACGATAACTAGCGAAAGGATTCTTTTTTTTATAGGGGATTCTGATATCAAAAGTTTGATTTTGAAACCTCAATATATATAACACTTTATAATACCTATTACTGTTTATATACATGAATATATACAATACTTTGAAACTTCAATATATATAGTACTTTATGATACATATTACTGTTTATATACATAAATATATACAATACGTTGAAACTTCAATATATATAATATTCTATGATATATGTGACTGTTTATATACATAAATATATACAATACTTTGAAACTTCAATATATATAGTACTTTATGATACATATTACTGTTTATATACATAAATATATACAATACGTTGAAACTTCAATATATATAATATTCTATGATATATGTGACTGTTTATATACATAAATATATACAATACTTTGAAACTTTAATATATATAGCACTTTATGATACATATTACTGTTTATATACATAAATATATACAATACGTTGAAACTTCAATATATATAATATTCTATGATATATGTGACTGTTTATATACATAAATATATACAATACTTTGAAACTTTAATATATATAGCACTTTATGATACATATTACTGTTTATATACATAAATATATACAATACGTTGAAACTTCAATATATATAATATTCTATGATATATGTGACTGTTTATATACATAAATATATACAATACTTTGAAACTTTAATATATATAGCACTTTATGATACATATTACTGTTTATATACATAAATATATACAATACGTTGAAACTTCAATATATATAATATTCTATGATATATGTGACTGTTTATATACATAAATATATACAATACTTTGAAACTTCAATATATATAATATTTTATGTTATCATAATATATATAATATTTTTTACAATTGGACAAGGCAAAGTATATACTGATAGAGACGAGTTTTAAAATTTCATTATTTAAAATTAAATGATTTTGAATCATGAATTTCAAAGACTTAAAAAAATCACATCTACACTGAATGTATTTTCAATATATGTATGTATCAATCGATGGATAATCATTTATTCATTGTTTTTTCATCAGTTAAGATCGCAAAACAATTTCCAATGCATTAAGTTGATGCGCGAACGAATCTGATCGTGAGACAAAGTCAGGAAATACCAGAAAGTAGAAAGTATGTGAAACTCGATGCGAAATCAGGAAGTCACTAATTGTAAGAAACAGGTAGGTACAAAAGATGTTATAAAAGCGTCGTAATTGTAATTATTAATGTCGATTTTACAAACAAGCCTAATGTTTAAAATTAGAAGATATCTTTAAATTACAAGCAATTAAATTATGTGTTATGTGTATTACATAATTACATAATTAAATGTAAAAATAAGACTACTGTTATTATTATGAAAATTTATTTAAGAAGCATTAATTGAAAAAATGTTAGTGGAATGATTCAAATTTTTTCGTTGAAATAAAAAAAGTGAAAGATTTTAGTGATGTTGCGGATTATAATATTTTTAGAAACATTAATTCTTACACATTTTTACACATAAAAATAAAAGAAAATGAAGGAAGAATGAAAAAAATTCATGGTACGAAAGATTAATTAAAATTAGGTTGCTTTGAGGAAAATTTCGTGATGTTGCCCATAACTCTGGAATAATTATGTAGCAACATGATTTAATGTGCATACACGTACGTACAAACAATTTGAAAATTTTTTAGTATTCGTCTTTTAGATTCAGATGATTGGCGAAATTAGAAAAAGTTTCTCTCCGATTTCAATGATTTTTGAATGTGTTGCAAATATCGACATTTTGAGCAATTTTTTCTTGATACATGTAACCAGCGGTCAGATTCAGTTTCCAAGATGTTCACAAAATATTTATTTAAAAAATTTTGCACCATTAAATCCTTTAAAGCTAAAGCTATTGAGTAAACTAACAACTAACAGAGTATGTAAAGCATAGATAAATAAAGAGATAGAAAAAAAGAAAAATTCTGAGAGGTTTGGATATTTTGTTAGAATTCCATTACATTCCATCGAGTGCTAAGATATTTATATATTAAAAATAGTAAATCTATTATACTCTATGAAAACCATTATATTACATTTGGATATAGGGCAAAGGATACGTATTTAGTGTTTGAGAAGTTTAAGCTAGGATAAGAAAAAATAGAAATAAATGCTATATAAAATGTGTTGATAGAACATCAAAAAACTGTGTATTTTCAAGATGGCCAAAGCAGTAAAATTGTTGAGAAAACAAAAATTGTAAAGACTATACTAAAAATATTAAATTTTTGAGAAATAGTAACAACTTACTGTTACAATTTCGTGTAATGTTTATATAAAATATTGAAGTAACGAAAGAATAGATAAATTTCTTTTTCAAATAATCATGTAATAATAATTATTTGTTTATATATAAGTATTATAAATATGAAATTTAATAATAATACTACTCATAGTATATATGGTTTTTCGAATAATATCACTGAAATATGATACAGAAATGATAAAAAATAAGCATACGACAAAATTATAGTTTAAATCAGAGCTATCTACAAAAACATAAGAAGAATTTACACTCTGTCTGCATATACACTGAGGCATAATTAGATACTAGAGCTTTATTAGAAAAAGACCTATATTAATAATAACTATGATGAAAGAAAATTAAAATATTGCCAAGTACTTGCCTACGTGGAGATTACATTATTACAAACTATTGATAAAACCATGAGCTAAAAATAAATACCATATATTTATTAATAATAGTAAGAAATATAAAATATCTAGTAATAAATCAGTGATGCAACGATTACTATCAAGTAAAATTAATTGAATTTAGTACGCTAAACTTAGAAGCTCAAATAAAATGAAAATAAATCTTACTTAAAAGTACGTTAAATAAATAATACAATAAATATCGAGATAGTTCGAAGATATTGAGTTTTGAAAAGGAGATTTTTGAAATAGAATATGAGAAAAAGTATTAGTACATTTGACAAAGAGGATTAGTTAAAAGTTTGATAGTTAGCAGGAGAACATTTAATTTCTACGAGTTAGAAAATTTGTGCTTTAAAATGGGTCTAAAATAAAAGAAGCAGGTGCACAAGGACAAACTCACCGAGGAAAGTAGTAAGAAACCGGATCTCGACATCATAGACTCAAATATCTATAATGGCCTGTCACATAAAGAAGCTTAGGATCTTCGGTTGGAACACACGAAGCATCAGTGCCAGGAGGGGAGGAATTCCTAAAATGTTAGAGAAATTTGTGATAGGTGTGTGCATGATGTCATGATAAAAAGTTTAAATATGACTTTAAAGTGCATGATTTTAATGTACTGTATATTTAAGAGAGGTTTGAGGAGAAGTGATGACTATACTCATCCAAGGCAAAGGTTTCAATTTATGTTTACCGACAGATTAGCACACGTGACATAAACCTATTGTCGATCTCCACATAGGTAAGTACAAAGCTTTTTCGAGATAAGCTTACTTTACAGAATACAATATTACCGATATAATATTAAAACTGATAATAATATATATTATCTTGATAAACTGTTAAAGATTTATATTTATAATAACGTAGTTAATTTTATTAAATCGTTGCTGTTAACAATTATTGTTGGGTTAATGCTACTGGTAAAGTATGAACTCTTAATACACTTGGAGTTAGTCAGAGATAAATGATTTACTTTTTACAAGGAAATTATGTACCTGGACTTTGAACGGGCGGACTTTCTTGTACCGTGACATATTCTGCAAATTCAGCAGCCAATGTATCTGAAGCAGTCCGGGACACATTTGAGTGACTTGCAGTAGAAACCTATATACGATTTGAAATTATGCTATTAATCGACGATAACACTGCTCAGCGCATACTTTGCGTTGCAATAGACTGCAGATTTTTGTGCAAATAATAGATGTAGATTTTTGTGCAATAATAGATGTAGATTGCACATAATAGATGAAAATATTCAAAATATAATAACTATGGTAGAATTTAACAGCTGAATCAAATCTTTAGTTAAATCCTATTTTCAATTGCCCTTTCAAAAATACGTAAATTCTATCTCAGCATGAAAATCTATTAATCTGTTAACAAGTGATTTTCATAGAATTTTGTTCCTTAAACACAAATACAAAAATCATTTTTCTCCATTGTCCTCAAATCTTGAGAAAATTAATTTTGAAAGAAAGAGAAACTTTTTTCACGGAAAGTGATTTTATAGACTTTTTTTTCAATATGTTTAAACAATCAAAAAGATGCCTGAAATAATAATATATAAAATTTTGTGGATATTTTTTAATTTGTATTAGAAAATTTAGTCTAGAGGAAAATTTAACTACAGCAGATAATGTAGAAACCACAGTAGATAATATAGAAACCAGAAAAAAAGAAAGGTGCAACACAAATTTTGTTTTTCATCAAGAAACTGAAATAATTGTGTAAGACACGAAGTACTGCCACTGATCCTCAATGTCAACGATTTCTCGATATTCTTTTCTATTCGTTTCATTCGTCAAAATAAGATTGCATTTATAAGCAATGATTTTTAATAAATTACTTGTTATTTTAAATTATATATCAAAATAAAAGATGCGGCAGAGAAAGGAGAAATTGTAAGCATAGGTTTATTTGAAATAAACGAAAATAATGATATTGTTGGTCTTAATACATTATAATACTCATTTAGTAAACATGAAACAATTGTCAAAAACAGCGTATATTCATTGTGAAAACATTTTATGAATGGCGATTCTGTCATTGTCGTACAGCGTTTATTTTGAGCTTGTTTTTACACTCTGCGTTAGGGTAGTGTACTATAAGCTCATGCAATCAACAAATGGGTTAAGAATTTTCATGAAACCGGTTTAATTTTAAAATGAACGTTTCCGGATGTTCGAAGAAATGCAAGAGCTTTAGAAGACATTGAACTATGTTAGTCAAGGCTGCTATTGAACATAACCTAACATGTTCCGCTCGTACTTGGCTTTGCATATTTCTGATAGGTCAATTCGTAGAATATTACGTAACGATTGTTACATTTAAATTTTTGCCTATAAATATAAAGCACAAATTATTCAAAAATTGCAGACTAACGATTTAGTTGTTCGAATTTTTGTGTGCAAATGCTTTTTTTAGTGAGACTAAAAACATGATACACAATTTATCCATGCCATTTCATCTCAGGGAATTTATCGTAATATATGTATATGAATAAACAGAATTGCCGATATTGGTCGTCAGAAAATTTAAGAATGAAATACCAGAGACTAAAGTGACTGTTGAAAGCAATCTCATTATTTAGCATAATTGGCTCGTCCGGAGTTTCGACGAATATTTCGCGCGAGCTGTTTTCTAAATTTAATTTACAAATACTGCTGTTTTCGAAATTTAAATATTTATGAATATTTGAATAAATACCTGCAATTCCACTTGTGAATGAATATTTGTAGATCCGACTGAATCTTCAGCCTCGTAATCACTATCGTAAGAAGAATCTTCAGCGTCAGCAATATTTTCAGTTTCTAGGACGGTATAATCTACGTATTTCTGAAAGCAAAATGAAACAATGTTTTTCAGATTTTTAATACGTAATAAATATATTTTATTCATAAAATTACTATTTACATTCATTCTTCTTATTATTAGTTACAATCTTTTAATTTATGGTTTAAAATTATTGTTCAACACGAGTATTATTTGTCTGAATCAGATACTAAATAAGTAAAAGAAAGTCGTATCATCGTTGTATCAAAATTTATGTGTTAAATATAAAAGAAATGCAATTATTATAATTATATTAAATTTTCCATTATTCAAGTATTTAAATACTTTTTGTTTATTAAATTTCGGATATATTTAAATTTTATGCAAGGAGAACAGTAAAATAAAATTATTCATACAATATTTAAACTTATTGTTAATGCTTTTTGCTCTTATACAAACTATGTCCGATTTAAATGGAAATAGGATCAAATATACAGGGTGTTTCATAACACGTGGGACCCACCTCGGGAGCTGATTGTACGTCTAAAAACAATGAAAAAAAGTCATATAAATACATGTCCTATCTGTTCTTTGTTTACGAGGTATAATGAATTTTATAAACAGAGCAAACTCGATATTAGACTTCCTATGCGGTTTATGCATGATGGAGCTCCGCCGCATTTTAGCCGAGTGGCTAGGCAATTTTTAAATCAACACTTTGCAAATAAATGGATTGGTCGTGGAGGTCCTATTGCATGGCCTGCTCGTTCTCCATATTTGAATCCATTAGATTTTTATTTGTGGGGACATTTAAAATTTATTGTATACGCAACATCGATTGAACATGCTGAAATACTACGAAATAGAATAGAGCAAGGCTTCCGGCAAATTCGAGAAACACCAGGAGTGATAGAGAGAGTAACCAGATCGATGACAAGACGCGTGCAGGCTTGTCTTCAACTGCAAGGTGGTCATTTCGAGCATCTTTTGTAAAGGTAAATTAAAACAGAAAGTTCATTATATCTCATAAACGGAGACAGATAGGACATGACTTTTTTTCATTGTTTACAATCACCTCACGAAGTGTGTCCCACGTGTTATGAAACACCCTGTATACCTAGGAAAACACAAATAACACGAAAAAATGTTTCAGAGAAAAATTCAGACTATTTGCAATTCTTTTATCTATTTGACTTTGCGATGATTTCGAAATGTCCTATGAAGATCATATTAAGATTTTTAAACGAATACATCCATTTTATTATTATTTATTACTTTTAGACGTTTATTACTATATATTCCTTTTAAACGTTTTCAGTACATTACAAATAGGTAAAAGCGCTGCATGTATCCTCCTTCATATCATGCAACTTTTGTTTAAAATATTTTTTCGTATTTTGTCAAATTTTTGGTTTTGTCAGTTTTCAGTTAAAACGAACATATTGTACATAAGAAATATTGTATATACAACATGCGAGCGCGCAAAAAAAGAATGACATGTGGGCGTATAGATATGAATTTTGCATAGATCAGAAAATTAATGCAAACAGTTGGTAAAAAAACAACGAAGGCAACAGTATGCGAGTTAAAGGAAGATTATTTGTTCACGACATTTTTAATTTTTAATTCCTTTTTTATTTTATGTTTTGTTACGAAAATGATTTCCGGTTCCCTTTGGAAAATCCCATTCTACGTTTGAGAGCTTGCCTGGAATCAAAAAGAATATTTGGAAATAAAACATGAAAGTATTTCAGTTGCTCATACTGACTACAAAAGTGGGTCAACTTGTCGGAAGACCACTCTAACATGGAACATAAGCAATGGACAAAATAAAAAAAAAGATTGGTCGGACAGCTTCTTTTCTTCGTTTAAATTATATTAAAATTTTTTCTAATCATTTTGTGTTATAACGTACAAAAAAGCAACTATAAATTGCAATATAAAAATTAGGTTAGTAAATTTTAAGATTTCGACGGTAAGTATATTAATTAACTCTCAATTTAATTTGTCCCTTGGTGTCAAATTTAAAAATATAAATAATTAAATAAGTATAAATTCTTTTATTGGCAATATGTAGATTAATTGTGTAAGATCTACACAAAGAAATCCTACTCTCACGGACAAATCATGTGTAGTCAATTTCGTATCGTGATCTCATTTCCTCTAATTCTGTCTAATGTTTGATCATTTGTTTTAGATTTGTTTCGTTTATATGTTTCAAAACACTAAAAGTGCTTATCAAAGGACTTGAAATATTATTTGCAATTCTGATCTTGAATTCTTATATTTTGTTATCAAAATTATAAATTTCTTTTCAGAAGAAAAAATAAATCGAAAATACAGAATAAAATTTTTCTACAAGATGCTTCATTTCCGAGAAAATTGAGTTTGAATATATTTTGTTGAGAATTGGTACATATACATTTGATAAATTTTCAAACTCGATTGTCTCGAAAACAAAGTATCTTACAAAAACATTTTATTCTTCATTTTTTTTTTTATGCTTTTCATTCTAGTATAATAAAAATAAAAAAATTTAATTTAAAATCTTTGAAAGAAACAAATATAGTACTGTCAAAGTAAAAACTTTATGCTTTAAAATGAGCACAAGATTGATTTTTATGACTTATAATTTTTTATTAAGAAATTGTAACAGTCTAACAATAAGTGGCGATAACTTTTCCGTTTGGCTTAGTATTCTTCTTCACTTTTGGTTTTTTACGAATTGTATCTTCAAAAAACCGACTAGTCGTTGATAATCGAGTTATCCTGGGAACAGAAATTTATTTATTCTGCACTCACAAAAAAGGATTTTTAAAAAATCATGGAAACACTTGATTAGTATGAAAAGTTCGAACAGGGAAGAGGGATAATCAATCATCACTGCAGTCCTATCTCGTCTCCTAGCAAGTGCAGGTCCTCAACTACTCGAGTCATCCGAGATGTCTGCGAAAAATGAGATAAAGAGCAGAAGACACTGATTTTGTTTAATAAAATGTATAAGATACATTAAAAAAAAAAAACGAATCCATGAGTATTATAGTACTATAAATTTTTCTCTGTCAGTAGAAATTGAAAATTATCTGTATGTTATATTTACTAAAGCACTGCTCTACAAATGTCAAGATAATTTAGTTAGGTTAGGTTAGGTTAAGTCAGCTTGGACTGAAATTCGGCAGCATCCCCTCAAAGGAAGTGAAAATTTTCTCCACGTAAAAAAAAAAAAAGAAAATTAGGTCAGGTTAAGTTAGACTTAGGACTTCCCCAACAATTAATAGGATTAAATTTAATTCTTGAAATTTTATTTCTATATTTCTAGATTCTTATTTCTAGATTCAATTGTTAATTTCAGTTTCTGATCATTTTCTCCTTTATTTCAAAATTTGATGTTTCTTTGATAAATTGTAATTTCTATGATTTGCAAAAACTAGCAGAAGCACGAGCATTGCCATTCTATGAAATAGTATTATTTTTTGTTACAAATTCCAAAGGTATTATTGTAATAGCAAAGAAATAAAAATCTGTTTATATACTGAATTACTATTAGTTTAATCAAATCCATAAGTGAAGATATCGCATATGTCGTCACTGTTTCTTGAAATTACATTATTGATTAGTTTCGTTTGAAACAAAACAATTCTTTGTACTATATGCACTACATGTAATTATGTATATGTATTACTTTGTAATGATATACAATTTTGTAATGATGGACAATTTTTTCTGTCATATTAATTCCGAGAGGCAATTCTTTTTTGATTCAACAATTACGTCGTATTTTAGATATATATTAATATTAATATACATATTGTCTTTTAGTCGAGTTATTGTCAGAGAAAAAAAGCTACAGATTCTTTAAAAAAAAAATAATTTTTTCATTTTTATTGGTTTTCGTTGTTTTGTTTCAAAGAATGATTAAGTCTTTTTTTCTTTCTTTAAAGAAAGATCATATTGCGTATGTTATTAAATTAAAGGTTTGATTCATATCTTCAAAAACTATCGACGTTGCCTTTATGATCGATTTAATTTTTCTTTTTTTTTTAAAGATATGGTCTTCCTACGGATATTGCTGATTTGGTCAAGTCAATCACTTATTAATCGAGTCAATATATAAGTTAAGGAAATGTAATTCAAATTCGTCAAAAATTGCAACAATTTTTACGTATGTTTACGTTACTTTCATCTATTGCGAAACGCACCAATTATAGAAAGATGTGATAAACCACGTTCGAGTGACCCGATAAACTACACAAGTTTAATAAAATTAATTACGCCCTAATAATAGTGTAAATAGTATAAAAGAATCGACTTTTCAAAATTCGTTCGATAATAGATTTCTCGAGCCAATTCTTCGAGAAAGTTGTAAAAAAATTGTAAAAAAAAATCACTTTCAATGGATGAATAAATGTGCATCGTCTGAGACAAAGCACGCCCTGAGGTAATGTAAGCCAGGCAAAGTTCATAAATGAAGCTGCAAGTTATGTGTTTCGTGTCGTGTGTATATGTGACTATGCATATCACTTCGAAATACAAGAGAGAGAAAAAAATCGATATTTGTTCAAATGAACTCGACTTGGATTTTGAGTTCTAATGTCGTTGTCTGCCTTGCTAGAAGAGTTCTAGCCAATCAAAATTATATAATGTAAGAATGTGCAAGGCCAATAAGTGCTTGGCTGGGCGTGTGGACCGGTCTGGGTTATAGCAGGACATGTACAGTTATAGATGTGCAAGTTGCTTACTAAGACAGTTAACTAAGATCGAGACTTGAGTAGTTGACGTCCACATTCAGCCACGAGGATTAGGCACGTGTAGACCTTGTCACGACCACCCCCCTCGCCGACAAATATTAATCAAACTCACAGTCAACAACATTATAGGGGACATATATTGTAATATAGAACATTCGATTTCCCGCGCGAGACATTATGTTGAGTCGACAGTGAAAATTAACCTCTTAGGTACGACTGGATTTTGCGCGGGCTGTTTCTCTGTATGGCAGAGTTTGACGCGAATTACGCGTAAACAATACAGCACTGCAATGTGTAACGGAAAGTCACTATAGT